AGGAGGCGTGGCTTTCAAGATCAAAAGGATCCCTGCTTTGCATAGTGTGGCCATGGGCAGACTGCAAAAGAAGGGGCTCAGCTGCCCTCACGCTGCTCACATCTGAGCAGAAGCCCGCGTACGCCTGTCGCACGTATCGCTCCTTGCACACCCAACTCGCCGTCTTTCCGCGTGCGATGTTTTCGCCTCCACGTGACTCGCTTGCTTGGCTGGGTTCCATCACATCTGCCCTCTGAGCTGCCCTGGGGGCTGGTGAGGCACCAGGCACCTGCTGTACATCGGCGGCAGGCCCTGCGTGTTTGCTGCCCAGCCTTGCACAGAAGCGAATTCTTGCCACTGCGGGCCCCTTGTGTTCTTGCTTTTCAAAAACATCTCTTCCAAATATTTCGCTCCAGCCCTGCCTTCTGCTTGAGGCTGGTTATGAAAATCACGTTAAAAATAAGCTACCTCCTGGAAGCTAAAATCAATTAAAATAAAAGCTACATGATACAGCAGTGGCATCAAAACGAGCGCATGTGGATTAGTGACTCTTTGAGGAACCCCGCACCCGATTGGTCATTCTCTGCTGCTTTCTGGAGGCTGGGCAGCAGCTCTACCCACAAGCCTTGGTTGACGTCCCTGCGAGCCAGGTGCCTTGCAGACCCACTAAGCCAAGTGCCAATGAAGTTCACTCGGGCGGAGATTCGTTCAGTCGTCTTTATTCAGCTGAGCAAAGCAACTGGGTGTCCGCGCCCTACGCGCAGACAGGAAGCGACACACACACATTCCACCAACCAGCTCATCCTTCTTATAGCTGCTCCTTACTCTTTTTCACACAGTCTCGCCCCCACTGCTCCCTCACCCAGTCCCCTCTCAGGGCCTGCCGGACCCTTCACCCAACCCCCTTGCGGGGCCTGCATGTGCACTGCATGCCTGGCCTCGTGCGGCCGCTTATCTACGTCCCATCCCCTCACGGGGGAGCGTGATCACTGTGGGCAGGTCCTTGCGTGGGGGGTCTTCTTCCGCTCACTGCCTCTCTATCAACATTCTTTTGCCTTCCCTTTTCCTCTCCAAAGCAAGCAGTAATACAAAAAGCAAATGGCGTTTGTTAGGCTAACCAAGCTCCTATGCAAGCGGCTGTTTACAAAAGCAAATAGTGTTAGTTAAGCTAATCAGGCTCCTTCACCTTGATTCTACAAGACAACCACCAAAAGGGCCTGTTCCAAGCTGCCCCCTAATGAAGAGAACAGGGGTGGGTCCTCCCCCGGACAGTCTGCTCTGGCAGGGTGCGGGACTCATTTGGCAAGAGGTTCTAAGATGCAGCTAGGAGAGCATGTAGGAATGCATATTGCAACTGCCCATCCTACACTGCAGGCGAAATCTGAATGTTCGGACGCAGCCTGGAATGCACTGGGCAAGGGCCAGCAGGGAGTGCTGGCACACCAAGAGCAATTGCCCCGTTATGATCGCTGTCCCCTTCCTGAGCTGGCCTGGCTTGGCCTGGCCTGGCAGCAGCTCCCCATGCTGGAGTGCGGCCATGCACTCTACTTGGAGCTTCCCCCAAAGCACCCAAAGTTTTGATTGGTGTAAAACACAGCTTCCAACTGGTGCACATTACTGGAGGCGCATCGCTCCTGTTTGCAGAGACCTGCACTGGTTGCCCAGTGCTTTCCAGACTCCATTCATGGGAGGCATGAATTTGGCATTTTGGCAAAGGCCAAATCACCTGCCCCAAAGACCTGAATGCAAGGCAAATCCTCTGAAGCCTCAGCTTGCAGCAGAAAGCGATTCTAGCTGCAATAAAGGGGGGAAATTGAAGCCGGATCGCTCGGGTACCATGGTGAGCCCCAAGAAAGGTGCCTGAGGCTACTTTTTTGCATGGGAGTCTTGTGACACTGCCTCTGCCTTAGGTGGTGCATGAGCATGCGGCACCCTCATCACTGCACATTTCTCGGATGGTGTCACTTCTGAGTGAAGCGCCTACAGCAACAGACACGGGACGGTGGTTGCTTTGCCAGCAGACACCGGCGGCATGTGCTCCAAAGCGCATGCCTGTGGCACGCATGGTGTCCGTACTTCTGCGTGAGAAGAACAGCAACAGCACCCTAAGGCTACCTGGGACTGATTCCTTAACTGGAACCTGCCAATTCAGCAAAAGCTTGACATAAGAACAAACATTCAGTCTGCATGGATATACAAATCTCCTGTGCAGACGTCTCATTCTTCCTGGCATTTAACATTCATAGCATGCCTGTGCAGGTATCGGAGCAAAACCTGTGTAAGTGGAACCCAGGTATTCCAAATCCTGGAACCCCATTATTCAGAAGCTTCAGCACAGGTACAAGCCATAAAGCAAATCTTAGCAATGTGATTGGTTGCTTGCTTTTTATTTTTAAAATCACAACTCCATACCCGGCTGTGCCAGTTCATCTGAGTGTCTTCCAACAGTTAAAAAAGCAATCCAACAAAAGAAATAAACATAAAAAGGAATCTGGCTCAGCCAAGAGTGCTTACTTTCTTTATCTTCATAGCAATCTGTTCTATCACTTCAAGAGTTTCCATGCAAACAGGTTTAAGTAATGAGCAGTCCTGCTGTATTAGTCCAAAGATGCTGCCTAGAAACCCATAAAAACTGTGGTGCCTCTGCATGGATGTGTGGCCCTGATTGAAGTCCATCCAGAGAAAAGCCCTGTATGGGAATTTTCTGGAATTCCCTGCCTCTGGAGATCAAGGAGGCCCCAGCTTCATAGAATTCCTGGTGCTTCCCCCAAAACATCTTTATTTCAGGGAGCTATCCTTGACTGACCTGCCATGGTTTTTATTGATTCTGTTTTAACATACTGTTTCGTTTGTTTAGTTTACTCTCTTTATTGTATGCTACTCCGGAATCTGTTTAGAGGTGGAGTACTGCATAAATGTTATATATAAATTATAAGCAGGCCTTGAAGGAAACGGCCCTTTGTTGATGGTTTTTCCTTAGCACTTGGCATGCTGAAGTCCCACTGCCCCAAAACAGTCCATTCACAGCTGCGGATTGATGTGTCCTGCAAGAATTTGTCCAGTGCCCCCTTTAAAGGCATTGGAGTTTGTGGGCGTCATGACATCTTGTGGCTTTCATGTCCATAAATTATTGCATATGTTGTGTAAAGACTTACTTCCTTTGGTCTGTTGTGAAATGACTGCCAGAGTCAATATTAAATGAACTGCTGCCTGCTGCCCAATGTTCTAGCATCATGCAAAAGAGAGATGTCGTTCCTTCCTCCACTTTGTACATACTGTGTATTTTGTGAATCACTGGCACTTCAGTGTCCTCCAACTGTACCACCTTTACGTTCCTTCCATATCTGTGATGTTTCCCCTAAGGGAAAGGTAGGAACTAGGAAGGTGTCTTATCTGGAACCAAAGCATTGCTCTCTTGAGCTCAGCACCAACTGGCAGTAGTTGGCCAGACTTTCCAGACAGAGATCTAGTGGGTGAAGTCAGGACTGAACCCGAGACTTTCTGGGTACGAAGCAGGTGCTGTTCCTGCAAGCTGCAGTCCCTCCTCAAAGGATAAAGTGCTGTGCTCATTTGCCGGGAAGGCAAAACCTGCCCCTGGGGTCCTAGGCCTCACACGGATTTTCTAAGGGGATGGCATGCACCACAGAGAAGTGCTATAAATCCAATCAATTGTGTCTCTGAAGGCCAGGCCCTGGGATCATTACAGCTTCCAGGTCCCTTGATATTCGTGCCTCTTGCCAGTTTCTAAGCAAGCAACTGTTTTTCTCCAGCAAGTCTTTCTTAACTATATCTGAGTTTGGACACTGGTTTCCAGTTATACTTGGTGGATGAGAGAGAGCTACATATGCATCTCCTGAAACAAAGATTGTGCAACGTCACTGTTTTAATCTGTTTTTTTAAATTTCAGAGTTTATTTAATTAGTGTATTACTAGTTTTTACTGGATTTGTTCAGAATGTGGGCAGTAAGATGATCTCTTCCTGCTTCCTTTCAATCTGCCCATGTAGAACAGCTGAATCAGTGTGTGTGTGTGTGTGTGTGTGTGTGTGTGTGTGTGTGTGTACTACAAGCACACAGTGGATGGATGTAGAAATAGAAACACTTATTTCCACATGCAGGTGTTTTGGTAAGGAATGGGGGTGTGCATGCATGCACAGATATCAACAAACTACTCAGCTTTGAAACTACTCTTCAAGAGACTTGGGCAGCTGCGAAAGTTGAACGGATTGTCCCTACCCCATCTGAATAAAGCTATGCCCAGTGACACCTGCAGGCATAGCTCTTGCCATGGTGTACCCAAGGAAGGGGTCGTCTCCCTCCATACCCCTGAGTGGCTGTCCCACAGCAGCAGCGGGGCAGAAGGCTCAGCTATATGACATCCCATCCCCAACCTTGTCTTTGAGCTGTGTGGACCAAAAGGCTACGTGCTGCTTGGGGAAGACTGCCACCTTGTGATTGAAGGTGGCACTGCAGGCAGACACGAGGTTTCTGAGCAGTTCTGTTCCTGACATTTCTAGACAGAGCTAGGAAAGGAACCCCAGAGAGCTGCTGTCCACTAGGAGTTTATATGGAGCTCTGTGGACCAGTGGTTGGGCTTCCTCTGTCCCTTTGACCAGGTAGCCCTTGAAAAACTTTATTGCATAAATGGTGTAAACCAGAATCAAACTTCCCATCAACACAGGGCAAATATAAACCCCCCGACTCATGCGTACAGATTACATATAAATAGATCACAGCTGGAATGGTCAGATGGAACAAGCAGAGATGTCATATGTAAACAAACAAAGGTAACTAATCTAATCCTGTTCAGTACCGAGAATCTTTCTTTCCTTCTCTTCCTCCTTATCTTTCTGCTTCCTAATTTCTGCTTCTTTCCCACACTATCCTATTCTTTATTCCAGTTCAGTTCTTTTCCCCCATCCCTTAAATATATCCTTTTACTTGGTAATACTGATACTTTTGTCATTATAAACATCACTATATAATTGTCAATATTTTAAATTTGTTTTTATTACCTCTTAGGGAAAGCAATGTACCTTCACACAGGAGAAGTAATTGACGGTGTGGACATGAGGGCAGAAGTAGGTCTGTTAACTCGCAACATTGTGGTGATGGGAGAAATGGAGAAGCAATGCTACAACTACAACACTGATCTTTGCTCCTTCTTCGATTTTGACACCTTTGGTGGTCACATCAAGGTATCACTTTATTTTTTAACTACAGTACAATTTTCATGGAAAGAAGACTGATAGACTTTCAGAAATGCTTAACCCTGGCTAGGTCTGGCCTGAAAAACGCATGCTTTCTGCATTTTGACTGGTATTCCTTTTTCTCCAGATTGGCCTCAGCTTTAAAGCTGTCCATATGGAAGGGGTTGAGCTGAGACACATGGGCCAGCAGTCACTGGGACACTATCCAATTCATTTTCACATGGCTGGAGATGTGGATGAGAAGGGAGGCTACCATCCTGCGACCTATGTGAAAGATCTCTCCATCCACCATGCCTTTTCTCGCTGTGTCACGGTCCACGGCTCCAATGGGCTACTGGTAAGAAATATCACGCCACTAAGAGGCTATATGTGAAAGTACAAAGAAAGCTGCATTCTCTGAATGCTTTGTGCACTGGTTCTTCAGCAAGAGAATGAGGCTCTTGGGGGAAATATATATTTAGACTGGGATTATTCTAAAGCAGAAATGACTCCTCCTTGTTTCAGTGGTTACATGAAGAAATCCTAGGAATGGCTAAATTGGTCAGTTTCTTTTACATTTCAAGTTCTTTTTGTCCCAAACATGCAGAAAACTGCACATTTGGTTAAATTGTTATATGTCTGAATTGAAATTAAATTCTTAAATTCTCACCCACCTATCCTAGAAAAATTCAATAGGTTCAGACAGCACATGGCAGTCATACGGCTCTTACAGAGGAGGAGTCTGCCAAGAAGGAATGTGGCAACCCTATCTCAGTACAAACATGGATGTATACACAGATAAAGTGCATCCAAACCCAGACTTCTAACATCAATGCACTCAAAGCCCGAGGATGGATAGATGAATCTGCCAGTTTTGGTCTTCCCCATATTTGTTTTTGTTTTGTTTTGAAGTCTCAGATTCTTCAGAATATGGAGAATTTTGGGACTTGTGCTAGATTCTCCTCCAAACTAAACTTGGAATGAAATGCTCTCCCTTCTGTCCCTTCTTTGGGTATATGTGCACGCCAATTAGTTCTTCGGTTTAAAGAAACTAAGGCTGCAGTCTGATGCGTGTGTATTTAGGGGCAAGCATCAATCGGCCCAGCTGGGTTTGCTTTCATAAGCGCATCAGAAGAGTCCAGCTGGACCAGGCTCAGGCTCATCTAGTCCCGCATTCTGTGCACATGGCAGCCAGCCAGCTGCCCGTGTGAACCCGCAGCAGGCCCTGGGTGCAGCAGGCCCCTCCCAGTCACCTTCCCAGGGCCTGGTGGACAGGCATGCTGCCTCTGAGGCTGGCGGCAGCACAGCGCCAGGAGGACAAGCAGGCACGGGTGGCCTCCTCCATGAATGTGTCCAGTCCGCCTTCAAAGGCATCCAGATCGCTGGCCGTTGCTACATCTTATGCAAGGTAAACATGTGCAGGATCGGGTACAAATATACACAGAGTGGCAGCCAGTATAATTAGGAACAAATTTCAGCCAAGAAAGTTCTGACTTCTAAGTGAATTTGGCTATCAAATTATAACAAAACAGAAATGATACAGTAGGTGAAGATTCAGCACAAAAACCATACATGTGCATTAATGTGTTTGGGGGTGGGAAATGCTCTTTTTGCCCTGCCAAGTACCTGGGTTGCTCACCCAGCAAAATTGCAGCGGGAGAGGTAATCTCATGTGAAAATGGTCTTGCACGTTTCTGGTGGAGGAACCATAAAAAGGTCCTTCTGTTTGCCACTTTTCCATACAAGAATGCCTAAAATGTTGCTTTCATTACAAGCAGCATGTAAAAGCCCACCTGGGCCTGCTTTCCTCATTACTTTGCCAATGAGAGTGCTGAGTCCACGACATTACATTGCTGCCTGATTTATAATGAAAAGGCTGGTGTTTATTACAGTAGGGCAGGATGGGGGAGTATTCAAGGCAGAGCTGATCGGTGTGCTGCATATATTCCGCTGTAGAAGCTGTCACCAGGGATAAAATTAAACGGAGCCTGATCAATGCTCTGCCAAGGTTCTCAGGGAAGAGTCCTCCTGGGGGTAGCTCAGCAATGCCGCTTCTGGTGTCGATAATTCAGTGTGTAATTCACGACTCGTGCTTTGCTTAAAAGGAGAGCACCAGAGGAAGCTGTCCCCTAAATCGAGACACCAAGCCACACCGCTGTTCTGCACATGCGTCAGGTCTGGGGATGAGGAGTAGGATGAAAAACAAACCCATCCAGGCTTCCTGGCCCTCTTTTATAGCAATGAGTTTCCACCGGGCGAAATTTTGCTGTGTTAGGATGGTCATGGAGCAAATGCAGGGCCCAGGGAAACATTAGGGGGCAAACTTGCCTTCAGCCAGTGTGCTTGTACGTGGAGAAGAAGCCCTCACAACTTATCCTGTTACCTTCCTAGGTGTGCATGCTAGGAAGTTGCACAATTGAGTCTGTCTGTCCGTCCATCCATGCTTTCATCTTCTAATCAAATCTAAATCAGTGATGTTGAACCTGAGCTCCTGCGGCCCACTCTAACTGGGGTCCCAAACTGGCCCGCCAAGGGTCTTCAGATCGTGATGCCCCCTCTCCCAGACCTCCAGGTTTCCCCCTGACTGCTTCTGCCCGTCAGTCAGCCCTTGCCCTCCTGTTGAGCAAAGGCTTTGGGGTTCAGGTCTTACACAGAGTACACGGAGGATGGTCTGAATGAGAAGCTCATGGCTTCCATTAAAAGAGATGACCATTAAACCAGTTTATCACTGTGATGTAGGTATGGCCCAAATCCTGCAAAACTCATTGAAGAGAGTGGTGAGATGAAAGTACTATATGTACCTTACCCCAGAGGTTTACCAGTTTTGAAAATTTGAAAAATAATTCCTTTTTATTGCTACAGATTACCATTCTTAGGTATTAAACTGTTTTAAAAAATAAAGCAGCCCAAGCAGCAATATAGAGAAAGCAGATGTTCCTACTTTCCCTTCCATACTATTTCCATCTTCAGAAGGACTGCAGCTCTGCCGTTGAGAAACTGCAAAGCTTTGTGCTTGAGCTGCCCGTTGAGCATGATCCAAAATCTGCCCTTGGTCCAGAGCAGGGTCATCAGTCAATTAACTGGAACCAGGCGTGGCGGCACGGCCATGGCCCCAAAGGGCCAGGTTCAGATCCCCAGGGGACTGGACTTGGCCCGTGGGTGTGAGGTTTCCCACCCCTGAGTTATACTTTCCCGTTAACAATTGATCCCTGGTATTATTTCACCGGTGGGGGTTCGTAAACAGTGCAAATTCTGTAATTGCAGAAGCACTATCAGAAGCACCCAGGAAAACCAGCCTCATGTCCGTCCTTTCTCCTCCTCTTTTCCACACACAGATCAAGGATGTTGTTGGGTATGACACCCTGGGACACTGCTTCTTCACGGAAGATGGGCCCGAGGTGCGCAACACCTTCGACCACTGCCTTGGACTTGTGGTGAAACCCAGCACGTTGCTGCCATCTGACCGGGATACGAAAATGTGCAAGACTATTACAGAAGGAGCTTTCCCAGGATTCGTCCCCAAACCAAGACAAGACTGCAAGTGAGTGGGGAAATAAACCTTTTAAATTGGCCTTGGCTGACAGAAGCAATTTTACTGGGTGTCTGTTAGTGTAACTTTACAGCTAGTTTGGGAGCAATTTACAATCTGCACACTGTTTGGCATCTTACTTACATTCCTACCTGAATTTGCACTTCCAGAAGAGCACTTCTTGTTTGTGTTTTTCCATGGGAATCTAGAGCACTAGAGCAAAAGGGAATACAAGCACATGAGGGCATTTGCTCCGGCTTGGGGTACTGGAGGTTGAAGCCATCCCACCCGGCACCTTCCTCTTCCCAGGTGGGGACCAAAACAGGAACAACCTCCCCTGGCAGCAATGGAGATTTTTCCAGGCTCCATGGTGGTGCTGGGACATGGGGAGTGTGCTGCGGGGAGCTGAAACCTTCCCTGCCTGTGTGTGGTGCACACATGTCCAACTGGGAGTACACATGTCCGCACTAAGTTGAATAAAATGGCCAGGACTGGCGTCATGCTCTCATTTTAACAGATCACGTGGTTCTGCCCTTCCTTAAGCCAAGCTACAGCTGGAGTTCTTCGTCCCCTTCCCACTTTTCAACTGGCTCAGATGCAGAATCACTTCTCCTGCTGTAAAATATAAATGGCATCTAACAGCTTCGTAGCTGGCATAGGATGTCCATCGAAATTCACCAGGGATTCCGGGAGGCTCCCAAGAGAGGGCTGTGCTTGCTCCATTTGTTGAAAAGAGCGGCAGCTGTGCAGTGATGGGGGAGCGGGGAAAAGAAAGCGGCAGACCCCACTTGGCAGACCCCACCGGCTGCATTATCTGGTCTGGCCCAGCTCCATGGAATAAAATGTCACTCCCTGTTGGGTGCTGCTGTTCATGTGTGCCCTCGTTGTCTGTCCAACAGTGCTGTCTCTACCTTCTGGCTGGCCAACCCGCACAACAACCTTATAAACTGTGCAGCTGCAGGGTCTGAAGTGAGTACAGGGGTCTCCTCAGGGGAGGGGAGGGGAGGGGTTTTAGAGCAACTGGAACAACCTTGGGGTCCCCCTCCCCCTTTGTGTGGGTGGGTACACACTGGAGCAAAAGCTGGCTGTGTCATTCTGTGAAAATTCAACGGAATGATTTCATTCTGTTTTGGGTTGGCAGCCAAGTCCTTCCAAATCAGCCATGTGCCAGTCAATTGTTTAAAATTACCCATGCCTTCCTAGACATCTACATTTTTTCCTAATTATCTGTGAGATACTAATTTTCCTCCTGTCTCCATACCTAGCCAGTGTAGTGTAGTGGTTAAGAGAACGGGACTAGAATCTGGGTTCTAGCTCAGGGACTGAGGCGATCTGGCCATGGAGCCAACTGGGTAACTGGGGCCAGTCACAGACTCTCAGCCCAGCCTACCTCACAGGGTAGTTGTTGTGAAGATAAGATTGAGAGCAGCAGGAGGAAAATGATGTAAGCTGCTTTGAGCTCATTGTAAGAAAAAAATGGGATATACATCTAGATGGTGATGATGTCTTCCTACACCCAAAACATGTTACTTTTAGAAATTACCTCTCTGGAATGCTTCCTCCCTCTCCCATGCATATGCACATATGCTTCAACATTTCTTTTTCTCCTTGCATTAGTCTGTTAAGCCTGTCGTCAAATTGCAAGCCCAGAGCACTGACTCAAGCAGAGACACAACATGTGGCCTGGATTTGGGTCTGCACCAGGAGTGACTGACAATCCTGTTAGGGCCAGGGCAGTGACAAAGGAGAATGTTACACCCTCCGTATCTCATCCATGTCGCTCCTTTCTAAGTGTGCCTCTGAATCAGAAGGAGGCAAGCCCAGAGCAGCCATTCACACAGAGACACAATAGGCAGCCTCCTGCAAGGATGATGCACATCCCTGTGAGGAAAGGACTGCATGATCCGATTGCACCCTGTGCAGAAAGGCAGTGAAATCACCTATCCCAGCAGAGGCTGATTGGAAGCAGGCAAAGCAACGAACAGTAAATCTTGCAGAGATGCATCGGGCAGCCCCTTTATTGGATGGGCACTTTGGGCTCACAAAGAAGCTCTTATTATTCCTAGCAGCTTTCTCACATCATGTTTGTGTGGTCTGGCCTGGCCCACTGTTAGGGAATTATTGAATTAGACATTCCAAAATGTCTAAATTTTGGACATTCCAAAATGTCCAAAATTACTAGGAAAATCATCCTGCAGACTGAAATGGTAATAACACACGCTTCATGTTTTAGATGGCTTTTGAGCATGACCAGGTGCTTTTAATATGCAGAAATGCCATAATCCTTCCACGGCCCTGTAGGAGAGGCACACAGAGAGGGTCATATATCCCAGCTGTACTTGGACCCTAATGCATGGCATATTTAGCATACAGATTAATCTAACCTAAATTGACATTTATTGATTTATAATTTTATTAACCTGCCTTCCCCCAAGGAACTACGGGCAGTACACATGCTTCGTTACCACCTCTTGTAACTCCGTAACAACTCTACTGGATGGGTTGGGCTGAGAGTAAGAATGACTGGCCTTTTTGGCTGCTTTTAACTGAGGGGCCCCCCCCCCCCCCGGTCTGACCCTCTATCCACCATGCTGTGCTCTCCAAACACAGCTCTTTGCCCAAGGCCGGCTAGCTTCCCCATTTCCCCTCCAACTAATACTCCCAGTAACAAAGTCACAGGTACAGTGAAGTTTTTGTGTCCTCCCATGCAGGAAACAGGTTTTTGGTTTGTTTTGCATCATGTCCCGACGGGACTTTCTGCAGGAATGTATCCCCCCGGCTACTCTGAACACATTCCAATGGGAACGTTCTATAACAATCGAGCGCATTCCAACTATCGAGTGAGTATGCATGCAGTGGAAATATATTGTGCATCGTTTTTCTTTAAAAAAATGTAATGCTCTTCTTCTCCTTCCAACTTCTGAGTCTGAAAGACATTACTGGCCATCGTTCCTGGTTCCATTAAAACCAACACCAAACAACTTCCCGGGAGTTTAGCTGGAAATTCCATTTGTGCTAGTTCTAGATTTTTGCTTCAGGTGGAGAAGGGGAGATATACCTTTCTCCCACCTTTTAAATTCCCAGCTGACTGTGCCAGCCCTACCATCAGGCAAGGTGAGCCACCTGCTTCAGCCGGCAGGCACCAGGGGCTGCAGTGGCATCCCCTCAGCTTTTCACAAACGTTCCAGCCAGTCCCTCTTCTGGAGGACTGATTTCTCTGTGTTACCCAGCCTGGCCTGGACCTCCTAAACCAGCCTGTAGACTTCGGGAAGGCTCAGTTTCCAGTCCGCTCTGTTTCTACAGGTGAAATAGTGGGAGGGCTCCCCCTGAGGCAGTGCTAGGGAGTGGTCCTCCAGGGCCGTTTGCAGCCCCACATCTTTGGGAAGGCGACGTGGCCATGGACACTTGGCCTTGGGCACCACTGGCCAAGGGCACTTGATGGAACCAAGCTGTGGGGGCTCTGATGGTCCCTCTTGGATCAGATCCCCCGGATGGATTGGCTTTTTGCCTGAATTTGTTTCACCATCTGCTACTCCCTCTGATCTTTCTGGCAGAGGTTCCTTTTCTGAAGTAAAATGTCCTCCACTCTTGGGTTCACACATCCTTTTTGACAAATAGGGATGCCCTTAGGAGACAGGGTTCTTTAAAGACACGTGTGCACACAGACACATAGACCCAGAGAGAGAGAGACTTTAGCACAAAGTACTGTCTTTTTGGTACTTTTGGAGTACCATCTTGGAGTACCATTTTGGAGTGCCATCTTGCCGTCATCCCATCCTGCAGCAAAATCCCTTGGGCCATTTCTACAAATCTAGACTGTGGCCTTTGGAAAACTGTGTGCCGTTTTGGGCACCACACAATGAAACTGCCCAGAGGTATTTTGTGAATTGCCCAGAGAGCTTTGGCTGTTGGGGAGGTGGGGGGGTATAGAAATAAGGAAATAAAAGGATTGATTATGGCAAATTAACATGGGTCTGGGACAACTTTCCTCTGAGGCAAGGTTAAACATTTGGGGAAAGAAAAAGGGGGGGGGGAATGTGCTTGAGGTGTACAAAATGATGAGTGGTGTGGAAAAAGTGGGGAGGGTCATTTTTCTCCCCCTCCCATAAATATCAAAGAATCCTCCCAGGAACCTGATTGATGGGAGACCCAGGGCAGAGAAAAAGAAAGACTTCTTCACAGAGTGCATCGTTAAACGGTGGAATTCACTTCCACAAGATGTCGGGATGGCCATCAGCTTGGGTGGCTTTAAAAGGGAATTGGGCGGATTCCTGGAGGAGCGGCTCTCAGTGGCTCTGCACTACCTCCAGTATCAGAGGCATGATGCCCAGGTACCCCACCTGCTTGGAAACATGGGCAGGAGGGCACCACCTGCTGCTGCGTCAGGCATGCTTCCTTGGCCCATTGCCCCGGTTAATTGCCAACAAAGAGCTTGCCTGGCATTGCAGTTAGTGTTGGCCTGGGCTTCTCATCCCCGCTTGGCCATGAAACTCATCGGTTGTCTTTGGGCCAGTCAGTAAATCTAACCTTCCTCAATGGGTTGTTGCTGCTGTGAGAATAAAATGAAGAGGAGGTTGATTATGTAAACTGTCTGGGTTCCTAGGAGGAAAAACGGCTGGGTACAATTGCAATCACAAACAGCCATTTCCGTAAAATTTATTAAGACCACTTGCAGTCACTGGATTCTACATTAGAGCAAAACAGATGGTTATATAAGGTTACTGGGATATGGTACAGCAGGGTCCCATCTGCCAAGAAGGTCAACGGAAGAGTAAGATTGCAGGCCTGAAGCCCCTACCCACTATCCCTAAACACCCTCCTGCAAACCGGGACCCTTCTGCTATGCTGACTATGGGATTCCAGAAGTCGTGGTCCATCATACATGGGGGTTCCCAGTTGGGGGGAAATGTTCTAATACAGCTAATGATTATGGAGAGCTGGGCTGTCGGAAAACATTTGAGCCTTCCAAGCTCAAGGGAATATAAAAGGTTTCGCATTCTGCCTTGTGCCAGATAGTGTGCCAAATTGTTTTGCTGGTATAAATAAGTCAAGTTCCACTGACTTCAGGGAAGTCATGTTCAGTTTGCGTGTCTGATTCCAAGGGATTTGGCCTGTGCAGTTTTGTGAATGCAAATATAGCTTACAAAGGGCTCCCCCTGCTTTGCTTTTTACAGGCTGGAATGATAATAGATAATGGAGTTAAAACGGTGCCTGCATCTGCCAAGGACAAAAGGCCCATCCTCACCTTGATTGCTGGAAGGTAACTGGACTTCTGTGGCTATACAGTTTAGGCTGGGAGGTGGAGAAAACTTCAAAGTCACCCTTCGAAGCATCCTGAAAGCAACATAAACTGAACTGAAGAAGGGCTGCTTAGGTTATAGGCGACAGATTTACTTTCTTTAAAAGGGGCAGAGGGAAAGCATCTGATGAAGTGGACTGCAGCCATTAAAAGTTCATTAGGGAAGGTACAATTGTTAGTCTTTGAAGGTACCACAAAAGTCTTTGTTGGTCTCACCTGATAAACCACTTCTCCATTTTTAAGGACAGATCACATGAAATCAGATGATTTCTCCTAGGAAATGTTAACAGTGAGCCTTCGGGGCAAATTGAGTGGAGTAGAAATTTAGGAAATAAATACTTTAAGCATGTGTCAGAGGCAAAAAAGGAGACAGATTTGCTACTGAGTAGGAAACCGCATTCACCATTCGAAGAAGTTCTCTGTGTGTGCAAAGGGAAATAAGCTTCTAAGTCCTGATAATTTTGAAACGAGTTGCTAGGAGGTATTAATCATGCTTAGAGTGAGGAGGAGGGTAGGATAATGCTAGAATTTCCAGAGGACAAATGGAGGCAGAGTAAACTAGGCCAGGGAAAGGAAAGGAAAGGAAAGGAAAAGCAAACACATTCAAATGTGCTCATTTGATGTTGGTTGCCTAATTCATGTTTCGTTTTGTCCAGAATTTCAATTGCTGTTTGCCTTTGTCTTGTTAGAGCCAAGTATTCATTATGATCCACTTAACCTCAGTTCTCAGAATTCTTTCTCATCCTTTTGAAATTGGTAGGTTTAAAGGAATTAAACCTGCATTGCTTTGGGTTGTGGTCTTCTACGCTAGTATGTTACTAGGAGAGGTGCTTATTGGAGACTAACTCCAGACTGAAACTACACACAGGGATTTGAAGTCCAATTCTGTCAGCTAATATAGCCCATTAATCACCAATCACTACTCAAGGGAAGTATGGATTTTGTTCTGGTTGTTTTGTCTGTGTTTTACAGACTGTCAAGCATCTCTCATTCCTTTCTTCCATCATTCATTAATGGGTGGCATTTTTTACCAGCCTTTTGTTCTGCTTGTGCTAATTCAAATTAATGCTAATACATGGTTGCACACATTTGCACTTGCTTCAATGCATTAATGTGTGTTAGTTAATATGAATTAGTGCAAATTCCTACACACACCCAGGCATATAGACTGCATGACTCAGAAAAACCATACTGGATTCATAGAAATCCAAACCCATTTGAATACATTGTGAATTTCTCTGACACAAATGCTGATGTGACCCCTTTAAGGCTGAAATGTACAAATTTGGACTCATTTTCTGGAACCCTTCAAGTCCCTCTGCCCAGCAATATTTGATATGCTGGCTTAGTGAAACCAAATACAGAATATTGTCGCAACTCAAATGCTTGACCTCTGCTCTCCTGGCTGAATTGAATGTTAAGTCCACATTATTATCTGCCTGTGACAACAGTTGGATGTTAATCCATCGAGTTAGTCCAAGTTGTATTGTTTTCCACAATCAGTGAATCCCCTTCAGACATCAAAGGAAAGCTGACAGTCAAACTTCCCATGGCACGAGCTGAGCTACCTTGGATTCTTCTGCCGTAATGGCAACTGATAGACAGCAGCTGTTGGAAATACTTTCTTATGGCCCCCTTTTGCTATTTGCTGTACCAAATCTGGTTCAAGTATTTCTGAGTTGATTCATCTTGGACTGAATTGCCTGGGTAGGAACTGCTAAAGTAAATGTGTTGGTTCTCTTCAGAAAAACGTTGTTTGCTCAGCTGAGATGGGTGCTCTCTCTCTCTCTCTCTCTGTTATTAGGAATGGATGGGTCTGTCTATTTTGCTTTCTATAACATTGATACTGCTTCAAGCGCAAGTTTGTTCCATCCTGTTTCAACATGAATGTAACTTTAAAAAAAACATACACCCCTGACAATGTGTGTGCTTGTGTGCACAGAAATGCCTGCTCACTCTGGCGTGCAATTTCTGCTCGTGAAGAGAGCCGGGGCAGCGTGGCAGTGAGCTCCAGCCCCGCTCAGCCCTGCCGCTCATGGGGTGCCGCCGGGCCAGCCACCGCCGCTCAGGTTCTCGTGGAGGCTAAGAGCGGAAACCGTCCAGAGCGTCTTCCCGCCCCGGCGCCCTGCACATGCGTCGGACTGCGTCTCCCACACTTCCCAGCCGTGGAGAGCCCTGCGGCCTCCTTGGTGCCCCACTATCCCAGCCGTACGAGTTTGCCGAGGCCTGGCTCTTCCTTCTCACAGACCCTGTTTTTCCCCTCTTGCGGTTCCAGATACAGCCCGCACCAAGATGCCGACCCGCTGAAGCCCAGACAGCCTGCCCTGATCCGGCGCTTCGTTGCTTATAAGAACCAGGACCACGGAGCCTGGCTGAGAGGAGGGGACGTGTGGCTGGACGACTGCCAGTGAGTGATGCCTCGGCTCAACCCTCCCGAGTTCAGCTCAGTGTTCGTGGCCAGCGGAGCTGTGCGGGGCCCGTTGGTACAGCCCAGCTTCTTTCCTCTGGCCGGGACGAACGTGCAAGTGAAAACCGGGCGAGGGAACCCTGCGCCTCGTTTTGGCAGGAGCCCTCTTATCCCGCCTGGAGTGGCCAAGGCCCGCTGGTTTGTGTGCAGTTTTGTGTGAGCGCCGCTACAATAAGCTGCAGCAGAAAAGAGACTTTAAATAAACCTTTCTGCTTGAGCCTGAAATAAAACAGGCTGGAGCGCATGGTTTTGTTTTATGTGGCAGGCTGTTATTGCCAGAAATTCCAGTGCCAGGGAGGTAGACATAAGACAGCACAGCCTGGTGTGGGAGGCGGTGTGCGAAGGAAGGGTGCGTAAACAACGGTCAGTTTAAAAATTCTCGCAGGGGCAGAGGATGGTTCCCTTATTGTTTCTCTGAGGGGGCAGGACTTTCCGGGAGGCCTTGCCTGAGCTCTGCTGGCTTCAGAGCAGCAAAAGCAGGGTGCGCTGGATGCCTTTCCTGCCTTTTCCATCCCGGGTCCTTCTGGCCTCTCCCCTTGGCTACCTCCTATAGAACCAGAGCGGCTGCAGTGCTCATCCCTCCCCTGAGAGCCACACCCCCTTTCCCTTCATTTGGCGGCTTCCCAGATTTTGGGCCACTTTCTCCCATCCCAAAAGACTGGCATGTGTTCCCAGAGGCCTGGCTCCTGGCACAAAGAGCCTAGTGCAGTGATGGCGAACCTTTTAGAGACCAAGTGCCCAAACTGCAACAACCTAAAACCCACGAATGTATCGCAAAGTCAGTCTCTCTCTCTCTCTCTCTCTCTCTCTCTCTCTCTCTCTCTCTCTCTCTCTCTCTCTCTCTCTCTAAGCTGTCTCATCTCTGATAACCAGAAATATGTATGAAAGGTGCTTGGCCACATTCATAACAGTGGGATTATCTGTGATGCCTTTTGGGATGTTGTCCAATAGCCCATAGGATCAGTTTAAGCTTAGGTTGTTTACATATAAGTTCATTGTAACAGGTTTTCAGAAAATACAAGAGTGAGGAAGGAGAAAGGACCATGGTGGCTAAAAAAATTGCTTTCCTTCACACATGCGTGCTTTATTTTGTTGCCAATCTACCCAAAGAAATGCTTAGATAGAAATGCCACATGGCCTGCCAGCATTTGCCTGCCTGCATAGCTATATATCGAGCTAATATGTCGCATTGTCTCTTCTCTGCTGTGCTCTTCCAGAAATGCATATCAGCTTTAAATCCTAGAAATTAGGTTGCTGCATTAGACCAGCTCAGGATGTATTTAACTTGCTTGGTTCTTTCCCCTTCCCTAACCATCCCCATTAAAAATAAACCCTGGAAGTTGCAATTGGGCAGCTAATCTTTGTACCAGGTCAAGCAAGTCTTTCCTCTGGCCCTCCTCTGCATTCACTCTCAAATTGCAATGTGCCAATTCCATTTGTTTACATTCCTGCTTTTAATATTCATGTTACAGTTTTACAGTTCTAGCTCATCTTTTGCTCCTTGTAAGGAATGGAAGACACTGCATGGTGGCCTTTCTCTCCTGTTCAGACGCGCGACACCCTGTGAAGTAGGCGAGACTGAGAAATAGTAACTGGCCCAAAGTACTCCGTGAGCGTCGTAGCCAAGTGGCCTCGTCCTGGCCAATAAAGCTTGGCGCTCCCAAGCCCCTCTCCAGCACTTTCACTGCTGCTCCACACTGCTTGCCATATCTCTGCCTCTATCTCACGCCTCTTTTCCTTTGTTCATGCTCCATGGAGCCCTTGGTTTAATTCCATGCAGCCCGTGGGCAAATTTTAAAAGCCTTCTGCCTGGGATGCGCTTAGAATTCTGGAAAGAGCGATCCATCCCTTCCTCGGCTGAGGGGAGAGAAAGGAAGAGTGGCAGGAAGGATGGAGAGGCTGCCCAGCCACTTTGGCTCCTTCCAGAAGGCGGCACAGCCCTTGACAGGGAGCAGATGCTGTGGCTGCCACGGGGCGGGCTGGCGTGCAAGAGCGCCTCTCCTGCAAAATGCACACGTATCTACGAGCGCTACAGGCATGACCAGGCTCTGCTGCCAAGTACGGCGGGCACAATTGTGAGGCATGCCCACCACGCACGCACACACGCACGGCGAGCTCCCGCAGCCTTGTGTCTTTCGCGGCACCCGAGCGTGGTGGTGCCTTTCTCCTGCTGACCTCTGTGTAGCTGAGTCCCCAAGAGTCACATCCCAGGCCTTTCAGCAGAGGCCATCAGTACTTTCTGTGAGCTGTTAATTGTTGGACAGCATTGATTTTAGCAAAATTCAAGCAGCTGCCACTCTCCTAATCTTTTATGGCCATCAAAATCCAGCCAATTTAAATTTTGTGACAGTAATATATTGCACCAGGGTATTATAGGCTAATGCAACGCTTTCCACACATAAGGGGCAATTGGAAGCACGGCGGGCCTTCTAAAAAGCAGTCGTGTAACAAGCCTGCCCTCTAGTGGCACAATATATGTAATGGCTCTTTCTTCTCCCTCACCTTTCTTTTCTGCGTTTGGCAGCACGAAGCTTCTAATTTTCCTCTGCTCACAGACAATCTGTAATTATTTCTGGGGTCTAGGGGATTGCTCCAGCATAAGTGATTTGAGGGTTGCGGCCACAATTCTGTTGCAAAATTTAAAGCTGTGATGCTATGTTTAATTACAGTGATCAAACAGGTATGTTTTCACCCAAATGAGTACATTTTTCATAACATGGATTAAAATAAGGCCATTACTGGGATCAAGCTATATTTATAATGTAGTGTTTTAATAAGACAAGCCTTCTATTATAAGGATAAACACATTTTTCCGAGTGTGAAGATAAGAGATTAATCACTCTGTGCCATCATTAGGTTTCCTATTTTATAATACCACAGTTTTTAACTGGGAAAAATGTGCCACTCAGAGGCACACAAGTAGGATTGTAAACACTGGCTGGTTGATGCTTAGCATGGCAGTATGTGACTAGCCCTAGACCGGTCAGTCCATCGAATCTATTTGCTAAACACACTGATAGAAAGAAGCATAAATGAAGCACTGACCCCCGGCACAAGTCAGCTCCGCTCATACAATGTCCTGCATGTGCGTGTCATTACATAGGCATGACATAATCAGATTAAAGGACGTGTTTTATGATAGACGATCCACAGTTTATTGGGCCCCGTTTTGTACAAAAGATTTGTAATTAATTATTGGGCTTCAAGGGTAAACGGAGACCTTGTGTGTGATACCTATGGATCCCTATCACTGCTCAGTAGTGTTCATAAAAGGGCTTTTCCAATGATCTCTTTCAGAAACCTCTCTCTAGAGTCTAGGGGAATCATACGGATAGCAAGGCAATCCACAAGGGGCCCATCCCTTATTTCATTCTGGCTACAAATGCATCCTCTACATTTTATGGCAGTTCCGGCAAACCTTCTGACAGCACTGGAGGCACAGCTTGGAATCTCAGAACAGGGAAAGCTTTCCTTTGCCCCCCAACCAGGAGTTCCTAAATAATAATTAGGAAGCACATGCTCAGATTTCACAGAAAAATAAAATGTTGGAATGCATATTATTTGAAGGCAACAGCTAGTTAGCAAAGCATCCACCCTTTCATTTTATTTTTACCACACAGTTTGACGGTTCAAACCATAGCAGCTTTAAGCGCGATTAGAATCATTCCGTACTTATTAGGGGTTTTCTAAATAGTCCTACTGGACCTTTGCTCCAAATAGCATCTTTTTTTTGGGGGGGGGGAGCGGGATTGTGCTATAGCTTCAATCAAAGTGGCATGAACTCTGAATAGTAGTGGGAGGCACAGAGACCCAACCGCAAGCCTCATCCTCACAGTGATAGGGATGTCATGCTGTGAATTCAAGGGCAGCCTCAGGAAGAAGTGTGGCTCTTTTTCCAGTTCGACAGCACGAGGCTTCTTTGCACAGGGCAGCTCTTCCATGGAAGTTAGCAAGGCCTGGGCAGGGAACAATTAATACTGCTTTAGTTGCTTGCAGGCACTAACCCCTTGAGTTTTGTCTTAATAAACCAGCCTCTTGTTGCTGTTATGTGCTGCCAAGTCACCTCTGACTTCTGGTGACCCTATGAAAGAAATACCTCCAAAATGTCGTGTCCGTGCCAGACCTGTAGCTTCCTTTGAGGATTCATCATTACTCTTCCTTTTCTTCTTCTGCCTTCGACTTTCCCTGGCATGGCTGTCTTCTCCAGTGTGTCTCGCCTTCTCATGATGTGTCCAAAGTAGGATAGCCTCAGTTTTGTCATTTTGGCTTCTAGGGACAGCGCTGGCTTGCCCTCCAGAATTGTATGCACTTTTACAGCTGATGAGAATGTTAGTAAGAAGGTGCCTGCTGAGGGGAGAGGAACCATTGCGGGAGAGTGCCCCCCCATGGGCCTTAAAAATTTGACCTGGTGCTAGCACCATGAGGCAAGGAAATGATGCTGCATCAGGGCAACAGATGGGTGGATAACCAAATTATTCACATCCGAACACAGACCTGAACCCAAGACTCATGAGACTAATGTTCTAATTTTCTCTGTCCTGTACAGGTTTGCTGACAACGGCATTGGGCTCACTTTGGCTAGGTAAGCAGCCTTGGTTCCCATCCTATGATTTCTGTGCTTTTCACTTGTGCAAGTTGCTCTAAGAAGCCTTTGTCCAAAGCCGCCATGCTAATGTGTAATTCATTCTTTCCTAGCGGGGGAACTTTCCCACATGATGATGGATCAAAACAAGAAATCAAAAACAGCCTCTTTGTAGGTGAGAGTGGAAACAAGGGAACTGAAATGATGGACCACAGTGTCTGGGGTCCTGGAGGCCTGGACCACAGCGGACGGACTCTTCCCATTGGCCAGTACGTTCTCTTCCATTTTGTTCCAATGCCCAGAGCAGCGTAGCGGCTTGCGTTTCTGTTTCGTTTTCTTTTTCCAAATTGCCACGAAATATCATAGCAAGAGAAAGTGAAGAAAAGACATGCCATGGGCTTTATTTCACGGCTCCGTAATTCCATGCTGAACAGCTGTCCCTGCACCATTTCATCTTAGGGTGACTGCGTATGCATTGCCAAGAAAGAAGAAATGCATGTTATTTCTTCTGTCTAGATGCAAATTTAGAAATAATTATTGTAACTCAAATAGAGATATGGTGTTTATCACCATAGTCCAGCCTGGTGTTTTAATGTTGTGTTTTTAAGTTTAGCATTTTGTCCTGACCACAGCTTCTAAAATGGCCTGTAAGCCTCACATAAAACTCATTATGATAATGTCTTTCAGCTAGTGCTGTACCTTTCCAGCCATTTTGATCCATAGATTAATGTACTACAGCTATTGTTAATTAATTGGATTCATTTTTAAGGACTAGACATGTAAGTTTGAGCACATATCTGTTTACTGAAATAAGTTAATTTAATGTGAAAACATTAAAGGTGGCCTTTACTTCTACTAATGACTTGTTTGACATGCCTTTGCATCTTATTTTACAAATTATCTTATGCTCCCTTCAAGGAATTGATACATCAAAAATATTCTCTCTTCAACCTGCCAGACTCAGTTTAGGCATTGGCTTCACGCTCAGCCTGCCAAGAAGCATTTTGGCTAAATTGAAACCATCTCTGATAGTTGCATTTCCACTCTCTGCCCAACCTGGGCTCTGCAGCACTAATTAAATCTCTGCTTCAGGGTGCTATCCATGACAATGAATGGGTAATAAGAGACTCGTGCACTGGGTCAATTTTTTGCTTTCGATTGGACTGGCAGGTGGGTGAGGTTAGTTGCTGCCCAAGTTCCTTTGAAAAGCTGCTAAGCAAAAAGTATGATCAACTGAAATACGAGAGAGCCTGAGTTGAATTAACAAGAATCACAAGCGTGCTCGCGCTCTCTCTCTCTCTCTCTCTCTCTCTCTTTCACACACACACACACACACCCCTCCCCCACCAGAAGTGGCTTCTTCCAGCCAGTGTCCTCTGAAATTCAGCCTTGCACATTGATGCCTATTCTCTGTGCTCCATTCATGCTATCTTTGAATGGAGCACATGTGTTTCATGGCACCAGATCGTTCTCACTTTCTCACTCTTTTAAAAATGTGTTCCAGGGATTTCCCAATTAGAGGCATTCAGTTTTACGACGGGCCAATCAACGTTCAGAACTGCACGTTCCGGAAGTTTGCCGCCCTGGATGGCCGCCACACCAGTGCCTTGGCGTTCCGCCTGAACAACGTTTGGCAGAGTTGCCCCAACAACAACGTCAGCAACGTCTTCTTCGAGGACGTCCCAGTGAGTGGGCCTTCTGCAGGGTCTGGAGAAGTTGAGGCTGAGTGGCACTGCACAGACCGTGTCTCCCGGAGACACCCCGGGGATCCGGGTGAAGCTCACAGCTGCTTCACATGCTGCGCTGATAGAAGAAGAATAACAACCAGGCATCTTGTGCTGAGCAGGCCTTGAGAGTGCAACTTGGGAGGGAATTTAGTGCCGAACAGTCAGATCTTAAATGCACACAGTAATCTAAAGTTTATTTTACTCATTTAAAATATTTTATTCTCAAGGTGGCCCACAAGATTTTCTGTCACCACTTAGCAGCCATTCTAGGTAGTTACAACAAGGGAGATGAGCATGGGAAGCAGAGCCATTCTACTTATTCCCTCGAAAGACTTCTTTTTTCCTCTGCCCTCCCCATCTATTTTTTCTTCTGTGCCATGTCTGTCCAGATTGTAAGGCTGTGATCAGGGGCTGTCCTGTTTTATTGTGCATAAGCCATTCAGGAATCTTTTTCAGAGAAGGGTCCTGAACTGTTTACCTGGAGTAACACATTCATGCATCCAGTCACTTGTGCAATTTGGGTCACTGAAAAATAGAAAGCTATGTGTTAAGCAAAGCATTGGGAAGCAGGGTGGAAATAGATTCAAAGGTTAAGGAGCAATCAGTTTTGAACCAGTATGCCAGTGTGTCTGTCTTCTCTCTTTAGATTGCATCTCGAGTGTTCTTTGGAGAACCGGGACCTTGGTTCAATGGGCTGAATTTGGATGGGGACAAAACATCTGTTTTCCATGATGTTGATGGTTCTGTCTCTGAATATCCTGGCTCATATCTCATAAAGGAAGATAATTGGTTGCTTAGACATCCAGACTGCATCGACGTTCCGGACTGGAGGGGTTCCATCTGCAGCGGACACTACGCACAAGTAAGGACCGTGAGCTGTACGGATACAGGGACTGCTGGTTCCCCAGAATTTTTGTGCTTTTGGCTTCTGCAGCAGTGCGGGACTTGATGGCAAGACAGTGAATGCCCCTGTGGAGTTACTGGAGGCTATCCTGCTGAATGTGTCCCAAGAGCCTCAGGGTTGGGGTGCGGGGAGACATTTTTTCCCTGACCCTCCAAGATATCAACCGACTGAAGTAAGAAGAGCAAGGGCCCATCTAGTCCATCGTTCATTCGCACACAAACAGAACACAAATGCAATAGCACTTGCCTGCTCATGTTCCCTGATAATATGTATTGAGAAGTAGGATCCGTCTGATGCTGGAGGGAGCCATATGGCTAGTAGCCGTGGCTTACCTGCTTTAGTCAGAAGACAGAGCTGGCTAGTGACTCATCTGCCAGTGGAGCTGCTTATCCATTGTAGCTTTTATTCCAAGCACCTTCCCCAAAGTTTCAGTGCTGAGCCAAACCCTCTAAGCTTGCCCCACTTGGGTTTGCTTTCAGAGGGGTCTCAGCACGGCTGGGTAGCATTCTATGGCCAAAATTCGCACGGGGGGCCTAGATCTCTCAGCCATGTGGCAATGAACCCTTGCAGGATAGGGGTAAAGAGGCCACAACTGAACCTCCAACCCTACCTCTATCGTGCACTTAAAAGAAGCAAAAAAGTTTGTTAGAGGGAGGAAGGTAGCTTAGTCTGGCTGACCTGCTGGAGTATTCTGAGCAAAGTATTACTTACTCCTTTTATTTCTTTTAATGAATGAGCATCCAGTCATGGGAGTGCCCACCTGCAGTCCACCATTATCCAGCCTGGACACAGATTGATCAGCTCATCTGCTGTATGATGAAAACTTGCTCTGGTTTCAGGGGCAGTATCCAGCTGGGACTGGGGAAAACCAGGTTCACATCTCCACCTGGCCACAAAGTTCCTTGGTCCAGGTGCAAACTCTCAGCCTCACCTACTTTATGCCTCTGATAAAGTGGGCAGGGTCTATAAAATGTTGTGCTGTAATACAGGGGAGGGCAACTTGTGGCCCTCCAGATGTTTGGGCCTACAGTCCCATGATTCCTCCCCCTTGCCAACGCCCCTCTGACGGGAGTTGCAGACCAAACACCTGGAGAGCCACACATTGCCTGTGATAATGCTTGTGTGAGGTACTGGAAAAAACTTAATTCTTGCTTCATCAGACTAATACAGCTTTTCCTTTGGAACGTACATCACAAGGTTATTGTGAAGATAAAAAAGTATGCCACACTAAACTCCTTAGAGAACAAGAGGAGTTATAAATGTAATAAACAGAGTCCCTTCTTTGTGAAAATTTGAAAATCAAAGTGTTGCTTGTTCCACTCCAGGTGTACATTCAAGCCTACAAATCAGCAAACCTGAAGATGAAAATCATCAAAAATGACTACTATACGCATCCTCTATACTTGGAGGGGGCTCTGAGCAAAAGCACCCATTACCAGCAGTATCAACCTGTGATCACACTACAGAAGGGCTACACCATCCATTGGGACAAGACTGCCCCTGAGGAACTGGCTATCTGGCTCATTAATTTCAATAAGTACGTACATGGTCCATCTAAACAACATTCCAATCTGGTAATGCAGCTGAATGTTTTTGAAAAGGATGTTGTTATAACGGCCACCACATTCTTCCAGATCTGACATCATCATTCCAGGGAACCCAATATGATCTTTAACATCTCCCTACCTAAACTCCATAAGTCCCTCTAGAATAGATGCAAAGATGCAGTGAGATAAATAATTGAGCTATGGAGTCGGTCAAATTAACCCTTGACTCATAGAGGTTGATGACAAGGGAATTAGTCTATATTGCTATAGGGGGTCTTTAAATTATTTGGAAATCAGCTCTTAATTCCTAATTATTCCGGCAGCTTGGAAAGAATTATTTTTATTTCAGAGAAAGGGATTTAGTTTGGCTTATGAATATTCCAGAAGAGTCATAGTCATGGGGTTTTGTGTTGAGCTTTTTTCCTGGATAATGCAGCTTTTTCCCCTTTTACTTTAGGAATGACTGGATCCAAGTTGGGCTTTGTTACCCTAAAGGGACGACATTTTCCATTCTCTCAGATATTCATGATCGCCGTTTGAAGAAAACCAGCAAAACAGGAATGTTCTACCCAGCCCTTCAGATGGAGAAACTTGAGCATCGCTACCCTACCAAGGGGCACTACTACTGGGATGAAGACACTGGGTAAGAAAGGAGCAAGTATGTTAAATAGCCAAAAAATTGCTGAAGCAGTTGCTTGGAGGTATTTTCTGTCACTTTTTAAATGGGCATGCAAGTAACAGCTGCATAAATCTTTAAAAGTCAACACCAACACCAACCCACACACACTTTTAAGTATTCTTCTTTGAGTCCTCCAGCAATTAAAGCAATGCTTTATGTGGTTCCCTAACTCACGGAGGTGTCTCGACTGCTTTTGCTCCTTGGGGTGCTCAGAGCGCTGCATGGCCCATCTAGGGCCCTTCCGGGAGCACCCTCAAGAGGACATCTAGCTGGGGGGGAGAGTGGGGGAGAGCACATCGTTCACAGAAGCCTCTCCCGTCTAATTAGAGCCCACCTTGCTTACATTCCACACACCACTAGCAATGAGGACACACAGTAACTGGGATATGCATGGAGTCCTTGACTCGGGGCCAGCTGTGAGCAGGACAGGGTCTGCTTTGCTGTTGCCAGAAAGGCTGAGCTCCATCCCATTCTGGCTGTGGCAGTGACACGGGGCCAGGGAGCTTCATTGCTTTTCTCTTTTTAATTTTTTAAATCTAAAATGCAAGTGAAATAATACTATGCTTAACATACAAATTGAGGTGCAATGAAAATAATTAGTACACTATTGTATTGCCTACCACCAGGACCATGGATACATGTCGCAATTTAAAAAAACCTTCAAACGTTTCAGGACTTTCTCCTTTCCAAACTGTAATGATTCTCTTTATGGCTCAAATCCTTTCCCTTTCTTTAAAACATACTCAATAAATGCACCCTAAATCTTATTAAAGTCATTTTTAATATACACTTTTCTCACTTTCATATCATATGTTAATTTATCATTTAGAGCTATATTCCAAACTTCCCTATACCAATCAGACAATTGGTAATCGTATTTTATTTTCTAATTCTTAGCTATAATTAGTCTTGCTTCAGTTATTAAATTTGTTATTTATAATTCCAGCTCCAACTTTTTTATCAAATATTGAAAGTAATGAGGTCTCAAGGCTTATAGGCATGTCATGAGTGGAGCTGGCTGGAGCCAAGGGTCTGGCTTGCTCTGTATTTCTAGATCTAAATTTAAACTTAATATTTTAATGCACTTTTTAAAAAACCTCTTTCAAAACTTGCATTATATATTCACATTCTCACCACATATGGAAATATGTACCCACTTCAGGATCACATGTCCAACATATAGTATTTATTATCTATAAAATTCAGCTTTACTGGAGTTAGGTACCACTTCCATACAATTTTGTAGAAATTTTCCTTTATTCTTACTGACATTCATTTTTAATATCCTCTTCAAATATTTTCCCAATCTTTATTACTGTTTTTCTCAAATTTGTTTCCCATGTTGCTTTAAGTGAATGATATTGAACCTGTTGTTCTAATATCTTATAAATTTTCTTTACTAACCCTTTCATCCCCATAGACTCATTTTTCCTTTTCTATAATTGTATCTTCAAATTTTGTGTAATTCCTACATCTACCTCTTTTCCTTATCCATTGTCTAGCCTAGCATTCTGACTGAATCATCTTATACCAGGTTATATTCTCCTTTCAAAGTATGGATTATCTCCCCATTTTAGTTCATTTTCTCTAATCAATCTTTTAACCTATTTTTTAATTCCTTAATATTTCCCCTAAATTCGACTTTAAGCTTAATGGAAAGCCTTCTCATTCAGTAATTGAACGTGATGGTGAGATTGGTGGCATAATTTTTTCCTTATGCTTATTCCAAATTTGTAATGAATTCTTAAGGAAAGAATTTTCTACCTTTCAATAATTTTTTTTATTTTTTATTTCCATGTTTAAAACTAAAATCTATCAAAGATCCTTCTGAGAAGATTCTAATTTTTGCCATATTAACTTACCAGGTTGTAATATGTCCTGTATTATAATATCCTGTATTTCTTCTTTATCACTATTCAATAGCATCATTTCTGATTTATCCCAATTTATCCTTAAACCCACTATCTCGTCAAATTCTTCCAAATGTACTCTAACCTGATCCATAGCTTCTAATGGATCCCTTATTGGTAGCGAAGTATCATCAGCAAATAGACTGATCTTAATCTCCTTTTTGAAACCTATACTTTTTATTATATTATCATTCCTAACACTGTTTACTAATAATTCTATAACTAACTCGGACAGTATTGGAGAAAAAAGGACATCCTTGTCTAGTACCATAGCCTAGGAATATTTCCTCTACCATCCCTTCCTGTTACATTTGCTACATTAGCTGAGTATGGTAGTTCTATTACATCTTTAAATGGTTTCCCAAATCCTAGTGTTCCTGTTAATATATTTATTGTTGGCCATTCCATGCAATCAAAAGCTTAACATACCTAGGGATTATACCAGCTTTGAATTCCCCTTTGCCTGTAACCTCCGATATGTTCAGACATGGCTTTTTTCATTGCCTTTGTACAGGCTGCTGTTTCTCAAACTAAAAGCCCAACATGAGAAAGAGCCATTTGCCTTCTGCTCTGTTAGAGGCTGTGAACGAATCCGAATCAAAGCAAACATCCCCAGAAATATGGAGGCCAGTGATTGTGAAGCAAAAGCCTATCCAAACTATGCAGAGAAATCCTCAGTGGATGTACCAATGCCCAAAAAACTATCTACTGCACAGCTGGTAAGTGAACCTGATTAGTTTCTTTAGGGGACTGTCTCTTAGCAGTGCCTTGTAACTTTCACTTTTGGTCTTTAGTTGAAAAACAGTTATCTTTAGAATGACTTGCAGGGCTGAAACAAATTTAACTTCATCTTCCTTTTTTTAAACATAGAACAAAAAAGAGCATTTTGTGGAAATGAAGCTAGAAAGCTACAAGACGAAATACTTCCACCTCAGGGATGACTTTGCATATATCTCAGTATGTATTTGCTTCCTGTGTTTTTTAATAGGCTTTATGAAATTTGCATTATGGTAAATATTGTAGCCCCTCTTATATGTCATTTAATTGAAAATAGCAAGAATATATAAATGAACAAATAAGCATCCAAGAATAGGGACAGAAAAATCAGGAAAAGTAAAAAGTAGAACAATTTTTATTCAAATACTTTTTATAAAATAGTTTGGAAACAAATATGTATCAGTAAAGCTGTTCTGAAAAATAATCTGGGTAGCCCTTTGTATTTCCATTTGGTCCAGTTATGTGCATTTAGACATGAACACCAATTCTGTATAAGATCATAATTAATTTTTTGGTTTGTTGTAGCTTTCAATTGATGTTAAAATTTCCCCTCAGTTAGATCCAGAGGAGAAGGGCTCTGATCATGCATGGAAGATGCCTTTGCCCACGTTTAGCTGATCCCTGTTCCAGTCAGGTCCCCTGTATTTCCAGGTTCTGTTGTGGGGAGGAGCATGTGGAGAAGGAGTCTTCTGCCAGTCCAGCTTGCACATGCCTAAATTGAGATCCAACTTTTCTATTCCCATTTTACTGACATTTCAAACCTCACTGCTGTTGAACCAAAGGACAATGTTTTTTTCTTCTAACTTAGGGTATTACTTGTTCATAATACCCAAGTCTATCAAATACACAATACAACAAGTCTGCCATAGGATCAAAAGGCAATACAGTGCAAGTAACATATGCAAGTATCCTCCTACAATATGTTAAAGTACCCCAGTCGTGAATGAATGCTTTGCCACTCATTTTCTGTAATATCTTCATGAGTTGCCCATGACATATTCATCCTTTTCATTTTACATTCGAATATTTGCAGTGCTTCCAGAAGCTTAAAAAAAGGTGAAAGGGAAAAACACAAAATGTGACCACTTTCTAGCATTATGCTTTCAAATCAACAATGTACAAAAATTAGCTGCAATTAAACTGCTGCAGTGTAGGGAAGGGATTAAAAAAACCTAGAAAATTTTCTAATGAAGATTCTTTCTTTTTAAAGAAAAAGTCATCACATTATAAAGCAATCTGTCTCTTGAAAACCAGTTACGGACTTCTTATTGTTGCCTTTTCTTCTGTATAGGTTGACAGCAAGAAATTTTATCTTTCTGAAGATGGCATCCAAGTAGTTGTGATCAATGGTCATGATGGAAAAGTTGTTGATTGGATAACTTTCAAAAACTCTATTCTACAAGGAATTCCAGCCCAGATAGACAACTACATCAACAAAATCCAGGACAAGTAAGCTAATGGGAACTTTGCTTCTGCCAGCCGTTGCCTGTGCCTGAATCTGGATCCAACCCACTGTACATGATTGGAACAAAATATGATATAAACTGATCTGCGGAAAGATGCTTGCATAGATTCAGAATACATTTTGCATGATTGGAGAAAGCAGGGCTATGCTTAAATTGGATGACAGCAGCATCTGACCATTGCACTTTGGTACTTTCAGTGAATAATGGTGCAGTCCGATGGGCTGTAGCCTTGATACTTCTAAGTTGCAAACTCAGAGCATCCTATGCAGGTTAGGAGGAAGGGCAGAGATGATCTTTGCCAGCCCACTTCCCCCCTGTGTGTTCACTAGAGGGGCCTTTTGCTGGTCAAGCGGAAGTATTTCGGGGGTGGGGGGGAAGGAGGTTCAAAATAACTCAGGATAGCTTGTATCATGGCCTCTCCAATTTCCTCCTTCCCTGTCCACAGAAACCTTTTACCCTTTTCCAAGGTCATGTTCTGGAGCTCAGTAGCAGCCAGTGTGGGTCTTTCTGTGCCAGCTGCAAGGGGAAGTAGAGTGGAACACCAGTGGCCAGCTTCTTGTTCTTATTGCGGACTCTGAATCTTGAATCCAAAGTACCCTACAGCCTCTCAGATGGCCTCTAGAGTCACAAGAATGCACCTTCCATCATTCAATAGACTGTATATATATATTCTTTCTTTCCTAATGTAGCTCTGTAGTGCTGATGACATCTAAAGGGAGATTCATCTCAAAAGGCCCATGGACTAAAGTCCTGGAGAAACTTGGGGCAAAGACAGGCTTTAAATTGAAAGGTAAATGGTTATTTGTTTAAGCACGCAAGTGTTATTTTAAACATTGCTTTATGACAAACTGCTTAGTTTAATAGTTTGTACACAGTTGCTTGTTCACCCCAAAAAGCACAGAGATAGTCTTCTGATCAAGGAAGGGCTCTACCACTTCAGCTTTTAGATAAGGGAATCACATTTCCTACTACTCTCCCCAACCTGCATTTCTTTAACGTGGAAAGCAAGCATGTCAGGGATAAACCAAAGCGAAAGCCATAGGATTGTCGTACTAGATTTTCATATATTTGTGTGAGAGTTTACATGTGACTCCCTGCAAGGTAGAAAGTGGTAATTTCCTTCCTGGGCTACACCAGATATTTTTGCAAGTATTATATTTATGGAGACGTAGCGGTGCAGCAGTTTGACACTGCAACTGTCGGCCAGAAAAGGTCAGCACCCCAGCGGTTCCAGCCCAGCCTCTGCCAGATGGCGTGAACTCCCGTCGTTTGCCTTTGGCTCCCAGCCAACCTAGTGGTTCGAAAGTGTGTAATGCAAGTAGATAAATCAGTACCACCTCAGTGGAAAGGTAACAGTGCTCCATGACATCATGCAGCCCACATGACTGTGGGATTGTTGTCGGACAGCACTGGCTCACAGTCTTAGAAATGGAGATGAGTGCTGCCCCCTATTAGCCACTAGCTAAGCGGAGTAAAATCTGCAGGGACTCCTTTACCTTTTAAAATACATTTAAAGCACCTTAATGAAAGCCTTCCATTTTCTAATATAAATGCAGCTCAAAGTTAAATCAAGAGCTAATGTTCTTTGTATTTATAAGCCACTTGTTACATATTTCACTGGGAAGCAAATCTCATTGGGTTAGATTCTTAAGTACATTTAGCCTTGAATACTGTCTAAAATGATGACATATTATGAAAAATCCAGTGTCATTGACAATGCTTAAGTGCGTATCTGAATTCATTGCTATGTTTCATTTCTATTACACTTACCCAACAATAGTGCCATCTGTATTTGGACTTCAGTGTCTCTCAACCACAGCCAGTAATCAAGAATGCTAGAAGTTGTAGTCTAAAATACCTGGGATGCACAAAACTGGGGAATGCTATGTTATAGGGATGTTTATTTTTGGGACTCTAAAAGTATTGAAGTTTTACATAATGATGCAGAAGTATTAGACGGCTACCAAAAAATCCAAACACGTTAGAACTTTTTAGCACTACTGTTCTTCTGGACAGCTGTGTGCTGGGCTGGTTCACATGATCATTACAGCCCACCATGGCTTATGTAAGGCTAGGTTGCAGTGCCTGATGGTGGCCATTTTCAATTTTCAGCTTGTAGTGGTGGGTTGCCATGGTCTTGTCATGTTATCTGAGTGTCAAGCACCCTCAAAGAAACCCAGCAGCCCAGATTTGGGTGAAACCACAATCCATGGCAACCGTTTGCTGCATGTTGGATGCAAAAATGGCCACCAGTATTCACCACAACCCACCGTGGCTTAGATCATGTGAAGCAGCCCACTGTTTTTGAGTGCAGAAAAGGCTCCTTTCCTTTGCTTCCTACAATGTTGATGGTTTCTATTCTCCATCATCTTGTCCTTCACTTTCTCAATTAGCAAAAGCTAATCTATCCTCCAATACTTAAGAATTCAACCGTTCACAGCTGCATCTCTCTGGCTACATGGATTTCCAACTATTATTTGAATAAAACAAAGACGTTTAAACTTTCAAATGGCATAACTTGCATTGTTATAGTTATATACGAAGTAATACATATTCAATAAGCCTAATGTAGTATTTATATTTGGTTTAAGTATTTAAATTTTTCTTCAGTATTTCCCTTTTCTCTGCGACTGTGTTGGGAAATTAGGAGATCATGATAGTTTCCATGGCTTGTAAATTTCCAGAAATTCTAAACCTGCAACTGAATTCAATCACATTTAACTGTGAGTTCTCCCTGGAAATTTACTCAGCTATGAAAATTAAAGGCCTAGCTAACATGCAGTAATTACTGCCACAAAGCCAACTCTGAGGAACAGAGAGCAGTTCTCATCTGGCATTCCTTTTTTTCAGAAAAAATGGCTTTTGTTGGATACAAGGGCAGTTTCCGGCCATACTGGGTAAAACTGAACACAGACGACGATGCAGTGAAGATTTTCCAAGCTCTGCCAGTTCCAGTGCTTAAGAAAATGAAATTGTGAAGATGTAGCCTGCATTATCCACCTGCTCTTAGCACACCATCAGCGGAGAAGTCAGCAAGCCCTGTCTTCCAAACTTCTTCTGAGATGTAATGTATTTGTGGATGTACATAAAAGAAATCTTATGATGAATGAGCTAAGTGGCCACATCTGACAACCAACATTCCCTGGCCAGTGTAGATTTAGAGCATCTGACCTGCTTATTGGCAATAAGCCTATCGTGCTGGTCCCACAAGCCAACCGGAGGCAAAAAAGACCCGTCGCCTAGGGAAGTGCAATGGGCTTGTCAGAGTCCACAGGTCTTGCAGGCAGTGAATGAGTGGTATGTACCAAGTGTGAACTTCTCCTATCTCAGCCTCCTAAGTACTTAGTCTGAATATTCAGACATCTTACTCAGGAAAAAGTGCACTTCTAAGTTGAGAGACTGACTATGTAAATATGGGTGTGGAAGCGAAAGGCAGCATTAGGCAGCCAGCAGAAATTCTGACAACGTGAGACCTTTTTAGCACTGCTGATCTGTCACAAACTTTCTGGCATGCTGGACCAGTCAGAGGGCAATGCTTACAGAGACTACAAAAGGACGTATCATGAACATCGTTGAGCCAGAATGTTGTCATGCCTTATTTTGAGTGGCCCGGTAACCTATGGTTAGGGGACATAGTTTATATGCAGTAATGGATGTTGTTTGTTAGCACCTCACAAAGAGCAAATCATCAGGACTTATCTAATGGGCAATAAATAGCTAAATAAGCAGTCTCTACTGAGGGCAAGTTACATATTTCGTCTCAAGTGAAAATCTCACTTGAGCCTTTCCCCAGAATAATCTGGCTATAGAGGAATGTGATGGGCAACTTGTAGGCTAAAACATTTGTAGGGTCAAAACCTGCCCCTGAAATCAGAGGACATCACAAAGGTCTAAGACCTGGTCTTGTAGCCAATGGGACAAGTCAGTGCAAATGCATCTGATTTGCCCCTTCCACCATACCTAATAAGATTAGAAAGTGGAAATTCAGAAACCATCAAGATTAAAATTAAAAAATAAGGACGCAATGAAGACACTGCCCCAGTGTGTGTGCCATTCTTCTGTTAATCGACTGACCAACTGAAGTTTGGTTTTTCTAGGACAATAACCAAGCATTGTTTTTTGAAGGTTCTATTGTAGTAACACTTGAGCTTACATGCAACTGTTGACATTATGTGATCTTTCTGTATTTGTGTGCACGTCAGGTTCAAATGTTTTACCCGAAATAGCTGGTCCTTTTTCGGAACGAGATGTATAGCATTTTGTATATATTTTCTTAAGTTTCTGATGAAAACAAAGATATATTTTGTATTTATTTATTGCAAAGGCACTAAAAGGATTAAATCTGAAGAGAGTTATAGGGTTTATCATGGGGAATTATCTGGAAGTCTCTCTCTTCAGATAATCTGCTTTGCACTTGAAAATTTCAAATGGCCGCAGAATGAGGTATGCTCTTTGCAGCCTGTTTTTATTACAAAAACACTTGCAATGTTATTTCCAAATGTTTTTTGCCTACAACTTTAATGTCTAGTTGTTTGGAATACAACATTTATTGAAATAAATGCAACTTTACAAAATTGTTCACTTTGGTCTGTGTTTGTTCGGTTACTTTATCACATTAAACAGACAGCACAGCTTTTGCCCCATTAATCTAAACCTGCTTACCAATTGTCAGCTTAGCAAGAGGGATGCACATTGCCAAATGCTCTTATTCAGCTGGGCCTCACTGAAGTGGCTGGATGGGGCTTTTGATGAAGATAGAGCAACATTTTTATGTTATATTATTTTATCCCCAGCTTTTGTCTTTCCAAGGAACTCAAGGCAGCTTACATAATTATCTCCCTCCTTTCAATCTCACCCTGGCAATATGCACCATCCCGTGAGGTAGGATGGGCTGACAACGCCACCCAGTTGTCTCCACAGGCACCTGGGAACCAGAACTCAGGTGGGCCGAGTCCCTGCCCTGTACTCTTAACCACTACACCACACTGACTCATCAAGACAATAAATTATAGGTAAGTGGGGAGAGACTGAACAAGCCCCAACTTATTTGCTGTTACATTGTAGATTTAAACAAAGCTAGGACGAATATTAAAAAGTAGATCAGAGTTTGCTGTTTATGTGCATCTGAAGGGAACTAGTAAGGTAGAGAGAGTAAGGCTCTTGCTCTCCCTAGAACCCAGTCTCATCAAGCGGACTGGCAGGAGGATCCAGGCAGCATTTCTTCGCACACCATACAGTCCTAACAATACAGGAATTTGCTCGAGGCGGCAGCTATCGGTGGCCATAGGGCATCTGAAGCCTTACAGGTACAATGCCTACAGACACCACTTTCTGGGAGACATGGGCAGGAGGATACTGAGACGATCGTGTGTGGTTTGTGGGTTTCTCCACAGGCAGCTGGCTGGCCGCTGAGTGAGCAGATGGCTGGACTGGATGGACCCCAGTCTTATCCAGCCTAGTTTTTGTGTGTGAACGCATGTGTGCCTTTAAAGCCACAATGGGTGCATGTGAGTGAGAACAAGAACTGGTCTTGAGGTTATTACTTTAAATCATGGAAGTAATCTTCTTTAATACAAGTGGGGGGGGGGAATCAAGATTGTGACCATGATGCACGGAGAAGTGTGTCACTTGCCTACTCACATACTTAGGAACTCCTTCACAGTTGCTGTTTGTCCCAAGAAGGAAGCTTCTGTTGGTGCCAGTGGCAACTTCCCTTCTGTCACAGAAAGATGCTTTGGGCACGGGGTGTGCATCAGGTTTCAGATGTAGGAAGGCAGGAGAATTCATTTCCTCTTCTCAGCTCACTCTGTTCCTGATTGGATGGTCCTATAGTTGCTTAGAAGGCAAATACTTTGCTGCATTAAACCAATCCATTCAGTTGCCCATCTCATTTGGTCCTTAAAATGAAAGGAAGACTAAAAAGAATTGAGTAGCTTTTCCACCAGTTGCTGGAGAAGGTGGGCACTCTTGTTCTGCTTGTGGGTTTCCCTTGAACACCTCGTGGCTTGAGCAGAATGGTGGATTAAATGGACCTTGACTGGTCCAGGAGGCCTCTTCCGCTCTTAGCGTTCTATCAAACCACAGAGTTTCTCATTATCTATGTGATGACTAGTCAAGAGCCACTACATTAGACCCAAAGAAAAGCAACTGTAAAGTAACACACTGTACCTTCTGAGATGAGCTGGTGCGTGAAAGCGTCTCCTCCCTCTGGGAAGCTGCTTGCCGCAGGGTCAGGTGATTTGTCCATACAGCCCAGAGGTTTCCCGAATGGCCATGGCTCTCCAGCTGTCAGCCACGTTCACAAGAGTGGCTAAGGAAGAACACCATACCTCTGCACCACGTGCTAAGGGCAGAAAGGACCACCTGACGCCAGGGCTGGGGCACAGAGCAGCAACATGAAGCCTGGAGCCTTCTGGGGATTATGCGAACAGTTCAAACTATTTGAAAAGTTCTCTTAACAATACCTGAACAAGGCATGACTGGGAGAAAAGTTGGTGAAAATGCACTTGGCACCTTGGCCATATCTTTGCCACTTCTTGTACAGGGGAAGGACGCACCCTGACTGTCACACCAAGGAAAACAGAACTTCTACCACAGAGGCATCTGAAGGGAATGGGCAGAAGGCTATAAAAGGACTGAGGAAAGCCAAGGCCTTGCAGCACACCCCAGCTACCTATTCATCCCACACTTTCCCCAAAAGTTCAGACAAAAAAGCAGTCCTGGAACCTAAGCCAATAGCAGAATAGCCATTTCTATGCAAGTTAGGATACAGAAAACTAAGGGAGATTCATACACCCCGTGAAGCACTGAACAGGGATGTTTCCCTCTTTTTCATATCTCAATTTTAAAAAATCATTCCGTCTCAAGAAGAGCCTTGGTAGGGCCTTGCTAGGCACTGTTAAAGGCAAGGAGGTAGGCCAGCATCAACATCAAAAGGTGTGTGGCCAAAAATACACATTACTAACAAATTATAGCTTGAAGGTGCTTACTGCTGTCCTTTTGGAATGAAGTGGAAAATGCACAAAAGCAGGGAAACCACCCAACAGTGAATGGCTAGGGCAAACAAATGGATGTGGGAGAAGGGGGCATGGCCTGCTGGGGAATCCCAGAGGACCAGACTGGGTCCCAGCAGGGCTGGATTTGGTCCCCCACCCTTAACATAAGCACGCACAAAGCAGCCCTAAGTTAGAAGGAACTTAGAAAGCTAGGAAATGGGCCCAGTACTGAGATTGGTATGCACCATTCTGAAAAAGGAGTAAGTTACATAAACAGTCTCCCACGTACATGCTGTAGATGAGACCAGTAAGTAGTCCTTGAGACAGTCATATGGAACTGAAAGAACGGGAAAATAATTGTTCCCTACCTCTGCATCTCTCAACCACTGCACATTTGTCCCTCCAAATTCACAACCCTTTAAAATCTTTCTTGACATGTTAAGCTTGCCACAGAAACAGCATAAAAAGCCCTCCTCACAGCCGGGAGTCTAAATGAGGCCTGAGTGTTTTTAAGAGCTTGAAGACCTGCTAGTTGGTTGCCACAGAAATCCAAGCGTGCCAGCAGCAGAAATGTGCTGACAGGATTGTACAATAGAGTATGACTTTAATGAGAAATGATGTTCCAGATGGATAGGAATTATTTTTAAGTACATTCTAAAAGCACAATTATAAACAATTCTAAAAAGGCAAAAGGGGGTAGAAGACAACAGAAGCCCATAAAGCTTCACAAAACATAGAAACATAGCGAGTCAGAAGGGGTCACCTGGGCCATCTAGTCTGACCTCCGGCACCAGCCGGCTCCGCTCACGACATGCCCACCATGTGGACGTCCAGCCTATCCTTGAAAAAGCTCAGAGATTATCTGAAAGCAAAAAAGGACATGTGTAAGACGTGAAAGGAGGACCAGAGTACAAAGGAAGATTACAGGCCAGTAGCACAGAATGGCAGGGATCATGTCAGGTAGGTTAAAGGCAGAAATGAAGTGAGACTAGCGCGACATGCCAAAAGCAACAAAAAAGCCTTCTTCAGAAATGTCCATAATAAAGGATCGAGGAAAGTAGTGCAGGTTCAACTACTCCATCTGGATTGCAAAAAAAGGCAGAAGTGCCCAATTCCAACTTTGGCTCAGTCTTCTCCCAAAAGAACATCTATAACCTTCCTGATGAAGGGGAAGTACAAGCTGCAGGAGCAGGATGCCAGCTCAAGATTGATGGGCAAATTGACAAGGGTCATCTAATTGGGCTGAATGAGTTTAAATCTTCAGGGCCCAAGGAACTCCATCCTAGAGACAAAAAGGAGCTGGTGCAAGAACTCTCAGAACCACTGTCTATTATCTTTGAGAAAACATGGAGGACCAGGGAACTGTCAGATGACTGGAGAAGGGCTAATGTTGTCCCCCATCTTCAAGAAAAGAAAAAAAAAAACTACCTAGAAACTACAGGCCAGGCAGTCTGACACCAATCTCTGGGACAATTCTGAAGCAGATTATAAAGCTGCACACACCTTGAAAACAATACAGTGATCACTAGAAGCCAACATGGATTTCTGAAGAACAAATCCTGCCAGATGAATCTGATCTCATTTTTTGATTGGGAAACTTCCCTGATGGACTGTGGGAACTCTGTGGACATAACCATGACTTCAGCAAAACTTTTGATGCAGTGTCCCGTGATAACCTGAATAGCAAACTAGCTAAACGTGGAAAAACTATCAGGTGGATCCACAGCGGGCTATAGAATCAAAGAGTGCTCATCAACAGCACCTTCTCAAACTGGGGAGAGGTAACAAGTAGAGCAATGCAGGGTTCAGGGCCAGCGCTCTTCAATGTTTCCATTAATGACTTGGATGCGAAAGTGCAGGGAATGATTTTCAGATGACACAAAACTGGGTGGGATAGCTGTTACCCTGGAAGGCAGAAATGATTCAAGGTGATCTTGACAGGTTGGAGCACTGGGCTGAAAACAACAGAATGAAATTCAATAGGGGCAAATGCTAAGTTCTGCACATGGGGGGGGGGGGGGGACAAATGCATTGTTACAAGATGGGGAATACTTGGCTCTACAATACTGCAAGTGAGAAGGATCTTGGAGTTGTAGATCGCAAGTGGAATACGAGTCTACAATGTGATGTGGCTGCAAAAAGGGCAATGGCTACGGAAACAGAAGTATCACTTCTGAATTAGATGAAGTACAAGTTCCGCTTTGCTTAGCACTGGCTAGCCCTCATCTGGAGTACTGTGTCCAGTTCTGGGCACCACAGTTGAAGAAAGATGCAGACAAGCTAGAAAGGGTTCAGAGGAAGGCAACAAGAAGATTCAGGGATTGGACACAAAGCCCTGTGAGGAGAGATTGAAAGAACTTGTTCATCCTTAGAAGAGTGAGGGGAGATATGATGGCACTCTTCAAGTACTCAAAAGGCTGTCACAAAGAGGAAGGCCAGAATTTCTTCTTGCTCATCGCAGAGTGGAGGACACAGAGTAACAGTCTCGAGTTAAAGGAAGTTAGGTTCCAGATGAATAGCAGGAAGAACAATAGAACCAATGATCCCAGAAGGTCATGGGCTCTCCCAAACTAGAGACATTCAAGATGCAACTGGACAGCCCTCAGAGAGATAGGTCAGCTTGGGGGTCCTGCACTGAGCAGGAAGTTGGACCCTCTGGCCTTTTCCAACCATGCTATTCTATGATTCCATGACTAATACTTCTGGAGAGCCTCTGTTTGGGGAAGGCTGAAATGGTGGGGATATGGGCCATTTATTTTGTCAACTTTTCCTTCTTGACTACTCTGGTGTCTTACTGTCACTTAAATATTTTCCACAAACCTAAATTAACTTTATTAAGTAAGAGTTGGATTGCTGAACATTCAAAGAAATGGCAAGGAGAGAATCTGAGGGAAAAGCCACTTTAATTCAGTCTCTTTCTAAAGCAGGCTTAGAATATCACCCTAGCCAAGAGGAAGCTTTCTTAAGCCAAAAAAAAAAAAAAGAAAGAAAGAAAGAAAAAAAAATGGAAAATGAAAAAAGGCAGTTCTGGAGAGTCTTGACAGACCTGGATTTATTAAGAGGTCTGTTTGCATGCATACAAAATAGGCTATTTCCAAGGAGAGTTACGGAATGCCTTAAATTCTTTTCTTCAAAGGAAAAAATTCCTGTAACTTGGTTTCATTTCCACTTCACTACACAGTGAAATCATCATATGACTCTCAAACCACAAGATGATGCCCAGGCAAAAACCACTGGAAACATTACAAGTACTTCCTAGCTGGGTTCGAAACAACTACTTAGGCACACTCAAGAGCTGGTATGACTCCAGTAGAACTTGATCTTTCCCACTCTGAATAGCTGAGCTTCACCATTCCACATGAAACTGTGTCTGAATCACAATCATACAAATTAGCCATGTAACATAAGCTGTGTAAGGAAAAACAAGCTCTCTCCAACATAAGTGATTTGCAAAAGCAAAGCAGAGATACATAGTACCTAGTTATGCAAGCAATTTACAAATTCTTTGACATGCAAACTATTACACTAACAAGCTGTCTATATAGCATCAGGTCCCTGAATAATTGATTTATGTTCAACCCATTCATTAGTCCTGTTCTTCTAGCTTTGCTATTACTTGGAAGCACTGCCCTTTAAGATCCATCTCTGTTAATGGACCCACTGCAAAAACAGAATTACTGTTGTTTCTTAGCTGCAGCGCTGACAAAATTGTCACTGCCTGTACGCAACTGAATAGAAGAAAGCAGCATCAAAAACTCTTATCAAAGGATGACTTCAAATTCTTTGTCCAAGGACAGCTTTGCCCTTGAACTGGTTATAGGTTTCACAACAATGACATTCATTCAGGAAATGAACCTAGGAAAAATGCAAATTCTTGCTAGTTTGTCATCAACTTACCAATGTATGAAACTGCCTTACACCAAGGTCAGACCCCAGGCAGTACAACCCAGATAGTAGAATAGGCTTTAAACTGTCAGAATAGACTAACTAGCCTTTGGAGTCTATATTGCAAATGACAGTTTAAAACTGTAGCTCCACAAGGGCCACAGCAAATCCTTACATGTATTAGCCAAATCTTTACAGTCTGGAACATCACCTGGAACAATTCTGTAGCAATCAGCCTGCAGTTCATCCTCCATGAGTACAGGACATCTTTTATATACACAGCCTCTTCGGAAAATTACATTTCTTACAAGTGAAAAGTTTTTAAGTTCTCTGAAGAACAAAAGGCAGCTAAATTTCCAGTCTTTCCCTGTTATTGAAAACAATAGTGAAATGGAACAGAATGGTGGAAGATCCTTTCAAAAGAATACTCAAAATTCAAGTAAAAATGAGGATAAACCAGTGAGGGATAAATATGTGTCTACAGATAAGAACCATAATGATCTGCTCTTTTAGACCAGAGATGCAATTTTTTTGGCTCTGAGGGCTTTATGCTGGCTCAAGAGACACAGGCCTGCATGAGGTCAGCCAAGCACACACAGAAATGCCCCAATCCTCTTTCCAGCCCCTTCCCCAGCAATTTCTTTCAAAAGACTGCTTTTTTCCTTGCTCTTGCTGCCAAGCGAGGAATGAGCAAATGGCATCAGAATCACCTGAGGTGATTTGGCAGTGGCAAAGCAGGGGATTAGGAAGCTCACGGGGACCACTAGACATGATGCCTGGGGCATAGGCTGTGCACTCAATTTAGACTTAACAGCTCCCCAAGCTTCAAGCAAGAGAGAGCTTTTGCAAAATCAATCTCAAATAATTAAAAGCAAGCCTTTCCTCCTGAAGAAGTCTTGAACCACTTCTGGAGGATACTCCCACATGCTGGCCAAAGCTCTGAAGCAAGGAAGGGGAGAAGCCTTGATGATGCCTCTCATTTTGCACATGAATGGCGCCACCAAGTGGCCATTCTGAGATGACCACAGGCATCAATATAAGACACAGCGAGATGACTGGACTCTTGCATTTCAAACAGCAAACTTCAAAAAGCATACAAATTTATTGACATTCTGAAGGGGAGTCCATGTTGACAGTGAGATTTCCCCAAATGTATAAAAATAGTTTTTTAAAAAAAACCATTCTCCATATTCCCAAATGGAGACATTCAAAGTAACAGAAATGGATTTTGGCACCAAATCAACCAACAGTTACAAGCAGAACACTCAAGTGTCATATTATCAACCTAATACAGTAATCACTAATTTCAAATGGACTTACATTTTGGTCGTGTCCTTTTCAATTAATGTTCTTGAAGAAGTGAACACCTCTAAGGCGATGACGCATACGGATGTGTTAGAATATATTTCATCTCAATTGCAGTTTAGATTCACTACAATCCTAGGGCACCCTAAGCATACTTGCAATTACTTTTAGGCTTAATTGCATCCTCTGCACACCTTTTATCCTTTTTCAATCAAATGGCTCATCCAGGTATAAAGAAATAACACTAAAGAATACCCCTAATAGATTTTGTTCCCACTCCACCAGGTTATATACAAATACTCCTTGTGTCTCCCAGAACTGTGCTTCCAAGTACTGATTCCACTACCACCAATCTGAGGATGTGCATGTCAAGACTAAACTGCTCTCAAACTGTACCCTTTAATCAAGGAAAATATTAGAAATGGAGAAACTCTTCAGAAGTCAAGCCACCTTGTCTACCTAGCCATTCACTGCGAACCACTCGCTCCTCCAAAATAGCTGGCAACAGTACTTCCCCTCCAAAGGGAGAAAACATAACCTGCTCATCTTTTGAGCAAAGTTCATAATACTGAAGTTAAACATGCAGGTATCTTGTTTTAGACTTAAAAACCAGTTGCCTTAAAGTAAATAAGCGAAAACTTAAAAGAGGCAGCCTGCAGATGTTAACCATTATCTTTGCTGTTACTAAATAAATGCCTCTCATTAATAAGCAAACTGTTTCCTACCATAGCCTTGACCATTTTTCTTTCCTAAACTTTCCATTTTTCACACAACCTCCTTTATAACGCACATTTAACTTTTCGTCATAGGTCTTCTTTCGGTTTGCTTGCACGATTATTGTCTTTGACTGTTCCAGTTTTCTTGTCTGAATCTTTTTTCTTTTTGGATTTTTCAGGCTTTGTCTTATTTTTTTCTTGTTCACTGGCTCCTTTGCCAGGGTACACCTGACCTTCCAGAGTTACATCTGCACACCTTTCTTGATTTACCAGAAAGTCTTTGATCTCCCATGCATAGCTTCCATCACGCAGCATAAAGATGGCACGATTGGAACCAACAATAAACCTAGGTTTAAAAAGGCATTCAATTAGCATAAGGTCTTTGAAGTGTTAAACCCTGACATTTGAGGTAGCAAAGAACCAAAAATTGATAACCCAAAACATTAAATGGTGTATTTGCAGTTTGGAAAGCAAGTGGTGTCCATCTCAGAATTCAGAGCATGAAATGAAAATGATCTGCACTACCCACTTCAGAAATAGTACCAACTGCAACTGACTACATTGTGAAACCCCTTCGTGGATCACTCACTGCCTTGCCATGGTGAAGGGGCTTGTGTAGTGCAATGAAGCTATGAGCTATGCTGTGCAGGAGCACCCAAGACGGACAGGCCATAGCAGAGAGCGCTGACAAAAGGTGATCCACTGGAGAAGGAAATGGCAACCCACTCCAGTATCCTTGCCATGAAAACCCCATGGAGAGTAGCAAAAGGCAAAGGGATATGACGGTGAGCTTGGGTGGACTCCAAGGGATGGTGGAGGACAGGAGAGCCTGGAGGAATGTTGTCCATGGGGTCGGGATAGGTCGGGTAAGACTTTGCGACTAACGACAACAACAAAAACCTTGTGAAAATGTAATGCATTAAAAAGTATACAATATCTCCCAGGTGTGGCAATCTGGCTTGGGGTGGGGGTTCTTGGATGTGATAGAAGTAGCACAGCAAAACAATGTTTATTTCCATAGATGCCAGCCAAGATGGAAGGAGAAAGGGAAGAAAAGGGTATTTGGGTGAATACATGCTTATCCAATGCATGGCATATGTTCTTTGTGGCACCATTTAACTTTGCTATAGAGGTTTTGTGTCCATCTTAAAGCCTGCTACCGAAATAGGTTGACTTCCCTACATTTCCTACCATAAAATGATTAGCTCACTGCACACTGCCATGCGCATTTTTGCAGAAATCAGTACCAGAGTATTCAGAGGGGCTTTCAGGAAAAGACAAATGGGATTGCAGACTTAGTACACATATAATGAAAAGCACCTATGTGGGCTCTTAAAGTGCGCGTGCACACACTCCACACTTGAAATGTGGATAACCTCATTTTTTATAGCAGAAGGCAGTAATTTCCAACAGTTTATTTTTATTAAATGAAAACTGAAGCTGGGAGTAGGAACAGTTTCACAAATCCAGACAAAATGCTTACCGCTGTACATCATAGTTGGCATTGAAAAGACTCCCTTGCCAGAGATTTGTAATTTGTTCAGTCTCTTTTTCAGTAGGTTCACCTGACACAGTCACAAACATCATCAGAGTCTTCCCTTTCTTGGTCATTTTCAAGATACTCTCAGGCTTGCCTGGGTCAATCTTGGAGAAATCTATTGGTGCAGAGGGACGCTTGTGCTCAGGAAGATCCCCTTCTTCTATATCATCATCTTTCTATTTGGAAATAAACACAAGAATGCTTACGGATGCTTTGGAACAGAACACTTTCCTTAAATGATCATCAGGTGCAACCAGATGAGCGTTAGAAAAACATGGAGTTTGGACACTTTGTTTACTTGTGATGATTTTGATGTAACTCAATTATATTCCTCAAATAATAGGCAAACTAAGAAATTAAATATCTGCTGTTAAAAGTTAACTGTATGATATATGTGAAACTGAGCTATGGGGAGATAATATCTTGTGCAAACTTTATTGAAAACTATTATTAATTTTATCATTGTATTCATATTTCTTCTGTTTTTGTTTTGCAAGGAACTCAAGGCGGCTCATATGGTCCCCCTCCCTTCCAACCCCATGAAACAATTAGGCTGGGATCAGTGACTGGCCAAAAGGCACTCAATGAGTTTCCTGGCCAAGCGGGGACTAGAACCCAGGGCTCCAAAGGCCCAGTCTACCACTGTAACCACTACACCACACTGGCTTAAGAGAGCTTTACACATTGGTATCTCATTCAGTTGACATTTGTTAAAACAAATTTATGCAGACTTGTCCTCCAAATACTGATACTGTGGCTGTGACAATGCAACTAGCATGCACACACACATATATATATATATATATATATATATAAAAATATATAGGAGACTGAAAATCAGTGCTAGCAAAAATTATGGATCCGATTGCTATAGCCACATGTACTAATTAGAAGGCATGTCAAAGATTTATATAAGACAGCTTTTCGCAACCATAAACCCTATGCGGCATGGCTAGTGGGTCAGGAATAATGGGAGATATAGTGCAACATCTGGAAAACACCAGGCTGGGGAAGGCTGGCATAAAATGTACATTCAATTAGTATTCCACTCAACTTTATCCTGCCTTTTAAATTTTTATTTGTCAACATACATGATCACTGGGCAACCAAAAATTCCAAAGTTTCTCTCTCACATATTTAATCCACACAAGAACCCTACCAAGTAGGTTAGATTGCAAAACAAGCTTGGCCAAGGTCATACAATGAGCCTGAAGACAGAATCTGGATTTGAACCAGGGTCTCCCTATTCCTATTCCACTGCTCTAACTGCTACATCACACTAGATTGGCATTTATTTGTGAAATTCACCTCAACAACAGCAATCAAAATACATTTCACATATTGTAAGACAGGCATGCCCCCAAAAGTATTGCTATTAATGTACTGACCTTCATCACACATCCATTCCTTATACCCTTGAAGACAGTCTGGATACTTCATTTGGTTCAAAACAGAGCGGCCTGGTTGCTAGCAGGGACCAGCAGGTATACAAATATAATGGCAGTCCTGTACCATCTGGACTGGATTCCAACTGAGTTCCGGGCCCAATTTAAGGTGCTAGTGATGACTGGATGTTTATTTTAAAATAAATAAATAAATAAATATTTGAAGGCATGCTTCCTTCCATATATACCTGCTTGGCCCCAAAGATCTGGAGCAGAAGTCCTTCTTCAGGAGTCCTCTTCAAAAGAGATCAAGAGTGGCTACCTGGAGAAGGGCCTTCTCTGTGGTGGAGCCCCCACTATGGAACGAGCTCCTCAGAGTGGTGCACCTGTTGCTGATGCTTATTTTCCCATTATTTTAAATGTTAGTAGTGATTTAAGATTGGATTTTATCTACTACAATATGGATGCTGTATCTTATTTATTTTATTGTATTACCACCCTGAGACATTGTGAAGGGTGGGATATAAAAGCTTTAAATGAATAAATAAATACCCCTGCAATGCATTTCTTAAAAGCCTTCCAAAGTGCTGGCCGAAGTGTATACAGCTATAATACTAAAACAATACAGTCAATACAAATTTAAAACAGACATATCAGAATGGTTATTTAAGACTAAAAGGAAAACCCACACCCTGGTGGCAACCATAGTTCTCTGTAGTGAAAAACAAGGAACTCTGCACATCCCCAGAGGCATGCTCTCCTTAGGAATGACCCAGTCTCCCTCATGACTGGGTCATTCAACTAAATGGAGAGAGGAAAGGTTCAAATCAAGCCCTCTGGTTAACCTCAGCACGTCTCTCTGGAATACCCACACCCTGATGCCAACAACAGTGCAATGCAACAGTTAAGGGTGTTGGACTGCGACTTGGAAGACCCGTGTGACTTTGGGCTAGTTGCTGTCAGCCTGACTTACTCACAGGACTGTTGCAAGAATACAATGGAGAGGAAAATTATGCGAAGTCTTGAATTAGTTGTAGAGCAACACACATACACACACACTTAGGTAAATAAAAATTTGCCAGCAGTGTAGTGGACCGATGTGGTATAGTTAGTGGCTAGCGTGTCGGGCTGGGACACAGGAGACGGGTTCAAGCCCCCACTTGGCCACGAGGCTCACGGCAGGCCTTTGGGCCAGCTGCTAACTCTCTACGCACCTACCTCGCAGGGCTGCTGTGAGGATAAGATGGCGAGGATTATGCAAACTGGCTCGGATGCCTTCGAAGGGGGGAAGGGCGGGCCGTAAACGTTACGGCTAAATAAGGACGGAACGAAGAGAGCGGAGGGAACTTAGGCAACAGAGATGGCGGACCCGTGGGGGGCACGCAACTTTCACGCCCCCAGAAACCCTCGTCCCTACCTCCCACTGCTCCAGCAGCCGTGCCATGTCCGCGTCGTTGTAGTCCCGAATGTCCTTCTTCTTCTTCTTCGCTGCCGACTTGGCGGGGCTTCCCTTCGGCTCCTCGGCGGCGAAGGAGGCGCCCAAGACGCACAGCGCTAGTAGAACCAGCCACTTCCATGATGCCGCCATCTTGTCCCGACGCCCACCCCGCCGCTGGAAACGGAGGAGGAAGAGCTCCTCTCGCCCGCCTCGCGCCACGTGACATCCGCGCAGGCGCACGAGGGAGAGGGGAGGGGAAATTCGGAGAAGGCGGGCGCGTCAACCAGCCGTGAAGCTCAGGCAAGTCGAGGGGAAAAAAAATCTCCGCTCTAACTGCGGAATGGAGCCCTGAAATGGATTGTGCCACTTCGGAAGCCGAGAGGGGGGACCCGCCCTTTATTCCCAAAAGCATTTCCAGGAAGGGGAACCGGGTTTGTATTGCTTTTGCTGCAAACGAACTGAGGAATGAAGACACATACATTCCTAATTAAAACGTTAGAACACAGTCTTAGACGGAAAATGCCTTATAACTCCCAGCATGCCTTCCTGGCTGGGACATGCAGGGCTTTTTGTGCCTAACCTACAGCGGTGTAAGGATGCAATGCTAGCTAGGCTTAAACAGAGAAAAGCCCTACAGTATGTTCCAGCGTACGCTGTTCTTTGTAGGACATTTCCCCTGTTTAAACCTGCGTAGGACTGTGCCCTACAGTTGGCACAAGACTTACAATCACATTTTAAAAAACAAATCTTCGTAAGTGTTGTAGTTGGAAAAAAGCCAGTAAAAAGGTCACATTATATTCGATTTTTGTTTCAGATTCAAGAGCGCTGCAGGCAGGGCTGGCCCACAACACTTTGCTGCCCCCCCGCCCCCACATACTACCAACTTCATGTACCAAAGCCAACCAAGCTGGCAAAACTTTCAAGCCCGACAGTGCGCATGCTCCACGGCACCTGAAGGCAGTGGTGCAGCTCGGTTCATTCCGCATGGCTTCATCCATTCTGTGCCCTGTTTTCAGAGCAGCAACACAGGCTGCATTCCTGTGCAAAGTTTCCTAGGAGGAAAGATTTAGTAGCGTGGCACCTCCTTTGGGGTACACAAGCACTGGATCAGTCTGACAACTGACTTAATGGGCAGTAGTTTCCAGTGATGTGTTCACCTCCTTGACTCAAGTCTTGGCTCAAGTCTTTTAAGTCCAAATAGAGTAACAAGTTATTGCAAGAAACTTTCAAGTCAAGTCTCAAGAGCCAACTTTAACAGAAAAAAGGAGGTGGTGTATGTGGGGGAGGGGGTTCAGAGAGTTGTACCCCCCATTGTTCCCATCTACACTTCTCTCAGTGGTGCACTGAAGTCCTTTACTTTCAACCACAATTTATTTAAACAAGGTGTGCTGTTACTTGAATTTATCAAGATTGCAATTTAGAAAACGATTTTCTCGACAGGACTGGCCTCAGCCTGGCGCTGTTATTCTCCCTGGAAATGTGCAAGAGCAGAGCAGAGGCAGCAGGCAGGAGAAACTCTATGGTGCTTCCTGCCAAGGAGGGCAAAGTGTGCCCATCAGAGCTGAAACCTTCCCCCTGTCCAGGTAGTCCCCAGGTTACAGATGAGTTCTGTTCCTGAGAACCTCCTTCAGTTGGATTTGAATGTAAGTCGGATCACATGAGTAAGCCAAATGTTTGTCTTCATATATGTAAATATTGTTCTTTTCTATGCATATAAAACACTTAAGAAATACTTCCATATTCACTACAACATCCTAAACACAATAAGGCATTGTAATAATGATAATAATTCAGTAATAATAGCAAGAGGAAGGGGAGACTGCTTAATAGAGAGGAAGGGGACTTGTTGGCTGAGATGATTATTTTGCCTTTGTGTACTTCCCAAAACAGGCCAGGGGAGATCTACATGGGAGACTGGATGAGGCCAGGGATTTAGGGGCACAGATTAGATTCACCCCCCTAGAAGTCAAGGAGCTCCTCAGGGCACTGGATGTTACAAAGGCACCAGGCCCTGAGCGGTTACACCCAAGGGTACTTAGGAAGTTGGCAAGCGTACTCTCATGCCTGCTGGCCTCCATTTTTGAGGGCTCATGGAGAACAGGTATGGTTCCATAGGACTGGAGGGTGGCATCAGTGGTCCCAATTTTCAAAAAGCGTAGTAGAAGGGACATGGGGAATTATAGACCTGTTAGCCTTACATCCATTGTAGGAAAAACAATGGAAAGGCTCATAATAGAGAGAGATCTAGTGATGCTAGATAGGGAAGGGAGGGTGACAGCCACACAACACGACGTCTGCAAAAACAGGTCCTGCCAGACAAACCTTGTGGAATTCTATGACAAAGTTTCGAAGTAGGTAGACAGAAGGGAAGTAGTGGATGTGGTTAACCTGGATTTCATCAAGTCCTTTGACAAAGTGCTGCACGATATCCTGGTTGAGAAATTGAGGAGTTTCAGGATAGACCAATGCATTGTCCGATGGATTAGGGCTTGGTTGATGGAACAAAAGCAGAGGGTAAATATTAGTGGGGAATCATCTGGATAAGCGGGGTCCCCCAGGGCTCTGTCCTGGGACTGATCCTGTTCAGTCTTTTTATCAACGGCATGGAAGAGGGGGTGACCACTCTGCTGATCAAATTCACTAAAATGGGGGCAGTAGCCATAACTGAGGAGCAAGTACTCCGAATGCAAAAGGATCTGGACCGACTGGATGTGGGCTGGGGACAAGAAGATGGTGTTCAATGCAGCTAAGTGCAAGGTCTTGCACTTGGGGCATAGGAATGAGTGTCATAAGTACAGGTTGGGGACAAGTGGATGCTGGTTGACTGCAGGCTAAACATGAATTAGCAGTGTGACACAGCACTCAAGAGGGCGAATGCCACCCTTGGTTGCATAGCCAGAAGCATAGCTTCTAGATTGAGAGAGGTATTACTGCCACTCTATACGACTCTGGTGTGCCTGCAGCTGGAGTACTGTGTTCAGTTCTGGACCCCTCATTACAAGAGGGATATAGCCAGGTTGGAATCGGTGCAGCAAGGGGCCACAAGGACAGTGGCCAGTTTGCAAGGGAAGCCATATGAGGTGAGACTGGGGGAACTGGGTCTTTTCAGACTGCAGAAGGGGAGACTCTGAGGTGATCTGTTGGGAGACATACAGGTATGTGAGGGGGTGTCACATGGAGATGGGTAGAGACCTCCCCTGCAAAGGAGGGCAGGATGTGTTCCAACGGAGCCAAGCTCAGGGAACCAAGGTTTAGTTTGGATGCGAGGAAATACTTCCTGACAGTTAGGACCCCAAGGGTATGAAATGGGCTTCCACGGGAGGTGGTTGAAGCCACTGGTGAGGGTGTTCAAGGATAGGCTGGACATGCATGTGGTAGGCATGTCATGAGCAGAGCTGGCTGGAGCCAGGGGTCAGACTAGATGGCCTGGGAGGTCCCTTCTGACTCACTCTGTTTCTAATAATAAAGTAACTACAGGCACTGAAGAGAGGGGGGAGAGAGAGAATCTGTGTGTGTGTGTGTGTAGATATACAGTATTGTAAAAAACAAATAAAAGAAATCAATTCAAAACACACAATGCTTCTGGTATGGCTTTTAAAGATTTACTCAGCTCCCCAGGGGCTTGAGGACGATCATCAGTTGTTTCACAAAGTCACTTGTTTTTTGTTATTGTCTCTTTTTAATATGTGTTTAGTTCTTTTAAACATGTTAATACTTTTTTCTGATTTTATATTTTTATTGTATTTTACCATCTGTTTTTATGGATTGTGTAAACTGTCCTGAGAGCTTGGGCTATACAGCAGTATAGAAATGAAATGAAATGAAATCAATCCATCAATCAAAAGCAGCTGTGCCGCAACCCTCTGTCACATGGTCACGGTGCAGGGAAGATGGCGGCCATGATCATGTTTGTGCAGGGAAGATGGCTGTGATCATGTTCGTCACCCAATGTGGAGTTCATGAACGGAAGCAAAATTTTGCCGAACTTTCAGATCATGAACTGAATTGTTCGCCAACAGAAGCATTCGTGAACCAAGGTATTACTGTATTTTTAGGCCGTCCAATTACACTGAGTCTCTGGACGGCTCCCTTAATGCAGCATATCAGAGTCAGAAGCCAAAGCCAGTGCTCCAGCAGAACCAGGGTTTCCCAAAAGTTGCATCCCTTCTCCCCAAATATCCTTCATGATGTTTACTGAGGGTAAAAGCTTCAAGACCAGGGCCTTTAAAATGGTGCCAATGGGCAACCATATGTCCACAGACACCTCTCTTGGTGACTGCCAGGGTCCCTGCCCATCTGAATTATTTAAAGGGTTTTTTTTAAATAAAACCCTCTCCAACTGGTAGAAGGGGGAACCAGTAAAATCAGTGGTTGGGGTGCTGGGAGTTGTCATCCAAAACATCTGGAGGGCATCACATTCACAAAGCCTGCCTTAAAGATGAATTAATGACACATCTATTTTGACAGAAGCTTCATGGATACTGAGAACTTCATCAAATGCAGATGTAGGGCTTCCTGTTGTGAGCCGCCCTGAGGCTTCATTGTGATGGGGGCAGCATAAAAATGTTTTGAATAAATAAATAAAAGAAAAACAAGGTTTATTACTGCAGGTTAAATAAGCCCTGGTTGTAAATCTTAGCCCATACTTTAATTTGAATGCAGGAGATGTTGGAAAAGTCAATCAGGAGCAGTTGGGCAATTTAAGTTACAGCAAATTTATGAGCCTGCAGAACCTAAACAATGCAACTCTAAAACTCCCATCAAAGCATTTACTACACTTCATCAGGCATCCAAATCACCACTGGACGCAGGATACAAATATGTGGTTATGCAGTGGGACTCTTAAAAGGTGGGAGTCAGCTTAATTTGTCCTTACGGATGGTGTTCTCTTTTGATGGGAATTAAATCATCCTGAAGGGAGGGTCTCAAATTCCAGGTCGTCATCAGTCTTTTCCTCAGAAAGTGCCCTAGTGCACTTCGGTTTTTCGAATGAGTTGTCACAGCAGCTAAAAGCATCTAGAAATTCTGGTTTTGGTCCTGCATAAGGTGTGTGAACTGAAGAGGGATATGAGCTAGTAATTATGGTTGGAAAAATGTAGCTAGTGCTGAATTTGGCAGCAAAACAGTAGCCTCAGGAAGCTCAAGGTGGCTCTTGGGAATCCACATATATGGGTATATTCGTCGTGTACATGTACAGGTAGAGATCTCATATACCAAGAGGCTGCAGCATGGCCTTCCCCAGCCATCCAGATGTTTTGGACTACCGCTTCCATTATTCCAGAGAACCAGTGTGGTGTAGTGGTTAAGAACACGGGCCTGAGGGGGCATCTGGGTTCTAGGCCCCACGCAGCCACAGAACGCGCTGGGTGACTTTGGGCCAGACTCTTGGCCCAACCTCTCTCTCAAAGTTGTTATTGTGAGGATAAAATGAAGAAGAAGAGAATTATGTAAGCTGCCTTGAGTTCCTTGGAAGGAAAAAAGGCGAGATATAAATATAATAAATATTCCTTGTAATTAAGCATACGTGGTTCCATTTCACCATTCCTTGTATTGTGACTGTAGTTGGACTTGTTTGGACTTGTTTCAAATTAGGCATTCCAAATGAGATTTTATTGTTACTATAGCTGAAATAGTGAATTTAATGCAAGTTTTAATATTTCTACAGGAACCATGTTTTATTATATTAAGTGGTATATAAGTATTACTAATAAATAGATATATAAATATTTCCTTGGTCATAGCTAAATGATAGAGTATTCTTGCATGTTGCAGTTTTTAAAATATAACCAGCAGAAGCTGGAAAGACCCTGTGCCTGATTTCCAGGAGAGCTGCTGTAAGATGGACCAATGCATTGTTCAAAGGCAACATCATTCAATATACTGACAATGGACTCATTCTAAGTGCTGATCTTCATGTGGCCAAGAGTGCAGTCCACATACAAAAAGGAAGTGTCCACAGGTTTGGGGGAATCTGTGCTTCAGAGAAGTACCAAAGAAGTTTAAGAAAAAAAGAGTTCTGTGGGTCAGGTTGGGGGAACCATCTAATGAAGGATAGGCATGCTCAGCTATTCCGCAATACTGATTTGAGAGAGGGTGATGGCACAGAGCTGGAGTGTCGAACCCTCGCAGCAGAGGGCCAACTTCAATTTCAGGCTCTCAGGGACCCAACGGGCAGCAAGCAAAACCATCAGGAGCACAGCCAAAGTGCTAAAGCTGTCAGTACCTTCCAGCATAAAGCTCTTTTTGTGATTAAATAGAGGGGGCATTTGCACATTTCCGTTTGGGCGCAAAAGCTGAAAAACCACCAAAGGTTCAGGGGAAAGTAGAATTAAGTATCCTGGAAAAGATAATGGCTGGCTGCACCTGCCACATTTGGATGAAGGTCTCCCCCAAGAACCATCAAGCCAACCCCTGGCCCTCTTGATATGGTCACACTTGGTTCAACTGTGAAGTTTTCTTTTCCATTTTCACTACGCATTACTCTGATTGCTTTATGTAGGTTGATTCTCCATAAAGCCAGGAAAGCTTCCAAGAAATAAAGGTGGAATACTGATTTAAAAAGTCAACTTGGTCCTAATTGGCCAACCAGAAAACCACAATCAAATCAGGTTGCAGGTCCACGGGGCTGACCTCATCAGCGCTGCACTGTGGTTGCTACCCGCCCCCCTGCCCCCATTCCCTATACTAAGACAGTGGGGGAATCTAAATAAGCCTGCCTACATAGAAAGTGCTCTTCCTTATGTCACGAGCATTACCCATACTGCAGAGCAAAAAATCTTGGCAATTTTGGCAACCTTCCATGGTGTGCCTGCAGCTGCAACCCCAAGAATACATACTTGGGATAGATTATTAATACCAGTAAGAATAACGATAGGGTTATTGCCGGTTACAAGTATACTAAAATATTAGGAAGGGGCTTTCTTTTGAATCAACACACACTTAAGGACCAAATTAAGGACTTTCAATCTAATACCGGCAGTTTCACCCGCCACTCCCAATTCATTTTTACTCTGCGGAAGGCACGTGGCGGGGGGGCGGGGCGATCCGGAGCGTAACAGTCTCGCTCTTAGGGATGCTTATCGAGACAGAGGCACTGCGCCTACTCTAGAGCAATTGAAGCAAAACAAAACCGGATGCAGCTGCCGGCCAGACAACTGAAAGTCATGACTGCTTTGCGTCGCCGTTCCCAACACACACATACCCAGGCTACGCCCGGGCCAGGACATGGTCTCCCATCCAGGAAAAGCGGCGGGGCCAAGCAGGGTGGGGCGAGGGGCAAATCTGCGTGCGCAGCGGCGGGCTCAATCCGGCGGCCGCAGCCGAGGCGCAGCTCGCTGCCAGTGCCGCCGCCTCGACATCTTCCCTCCCCCTCGCGCTTTTTCCCGGGGAGGAGCCTCCACCCAGCCGCGGGCGTGGAGAAAACGAACCGGGGGGGGGAGCGGCGTTCAAAACGGAGGGCGGCGACAGGCCGCCCAGAAGATTGCGATAGGCTTAAACGAGGTTACGGCGGAGGCAACGCGGGGGAAGGCGGGGGCAAACGCGCAAAGAGAAAAGGCAGGCGCGTTCGCCCGGGCTCCCGCCCTTCCCATCCATGCAGTAGCCCGGCCGGGCAGCTGGGAGAGCCACCGCAGAGGCGCCCGCCGCTCCGGGGAGTTTTCCATTTTTTAAAGTTGGAAAGTGGAAGGGGCGGGCAGGCGGCCGTGTTGATCCTTCCTTTTCCTTCCGTCTCCACCCCGCCGAAGTTGGTGATTCAGCCTTTTGGGGGGTGGGGAGGAGGGAGAAATATGGAAGGAGCGGAGAACAGAGGCCGGCTGGGAGTTTGCCGCCTCTGCGAGGGCGACGCGGTGCAGCCGCCTCGGCCGCCCCCCGCCGCCCCGGCCGCTGGGAGTGTCTGAAGTTGCGCTCGCACGCGCCGACCGCGGGCGCCCACGCCCTGGAGAGGCCGCCGCCGGAGATGAGTCCTCCCGGAGACAGGCAAGCCCGCCGGGCGGCGTGATCGGGGCATGCGAGCGAGCGAGCGGACAAGCAGGCAGCCCCCGGAGAAACCTGCCCGCCGCCTCCCGCCGCCGGATTGGGAGGGCGCATCCCCGCACGCCTCGCCCTCCGCCGTGTCCTCTCTTGCTCCGGAGGTGAGGTGCGTAAAGCCGCTTCTCCCTCCCCCGCCTCCCCGCGCGCCCTTCTGTGGCGATCCCAGCAAATCAAAGGAACGCTCTTCTCGCGCGCGGCCAGCTTCCAAGCCAGGGCTTAGCCGGACCACACCCTCTGCTGTTCTTCCTGATAGCAGCGGGGAGAGGAAGGAGCGAGCGAGAGATGCCCGCCTGCTTCTCGGGAGCTTTTTTAAAGGAACCGGTGGCGGCGGCTCGCCTCTTTCCGGCTCGCGAGGACAGCTCGGCTTGGAAAGGAGCGGACCAGGAACGGGATCGTTGCCTCTCTAGTTTTCTCCCTACCTCTCTCTGAATTTGAAACGCGCCTCTGCATTTGTCCAGCAGGAAACTTTAAAAAATATTGTTATTGTTATTAGAATGACTAAAATGCATCTTGTTTCTTCCTTGGCCTTTCTTTAAAGAACCATCCATCAACTCTCTGCGAATGGCAGCACCGACCAGCGCGTTGATCATGCCAGCAAGGATCAGAGGATCAGATCTTCCCCAAAGCCAGCGGCAGCGGGAGGTCTAACTTGTGCCAAGGCGTCGTTGGCTTCGCTTTGTTTCACTGAGCGAGTGGAGTGGGCCCCTGGCGCTCCCCTGCCCAGTTTGGAATTCACCACCCTTCCTCCGGCTTCCTCCTCTGTCCTGCCAGTGTTCCCAGACTTTACTTTTACTCGGGAGATTGATGGAATGATGGTGCGGAAAAGGCAGAGAGATCCTGCCGGGCTCAGCGGGGACTCCTTGGCAGGTAGCCGGAGTGGAAGTGGCGGCGGCGGCGGCGGCAGTGGGGTCCCAAGAGGCATGCGTGTGCTCCCCCAGCGCGATGGCTAGCGGCAGCTCTGGCAAGTCCACTAGCGAGTTGTCCACCCCCAGCTGCAGCAGCGGTGCGTTGCAGAGGAAGAAGCTCGTCTCCATCTGCGACCACTGCAAGATCAAGATGCAACTGGTGGCAGATTTGCTCCTGCTGTCCAGCGAGAGCCGGCCGGTCAACACGGAGAGCCTGTCTGTCTTCGGGGAGTCCTTCGAGAAGTGCAGGGACACCATCATTGCCCGGACCAAAGGCCTGTCCATCTTGACCCATGATGTCCAAAGCCAGCTTAACATGGGACGCTTTGCCGAGGTGGGGGACATCCTGGTGGAGATGGGGGACCTGGTGGTCTCCTTAACGGAATGCTCTGCCCATGCTGCTTATCTGGCTGCAGTGGAGATCCCAGGGGCTCAGCCAGCTTTGCCCGGCTTGGTGGATCGCTACAAAGTGACCCGGTGCAAGCAGGAGGTGGAGCATGGCTGTGGAGTCTTGAAAGCCACCCCGCTGGCTGAGATGAGTCCTCAGCTCCTACTGGAGGTTTCCCAGAATATGTCCAAGAATTTGAAATTCCTGACAGATGCGTGCGTCCTGGCCAGTGAGAAATCCAAGGATAAGTTTGCCAAGGAGCAGTTCAAGCTCAGTGTCAAGTGCATGAGTACCAGCGCCTCGGCTCTCTTGGCCTGTGTCAAGGAAGTCAAGAGTTCACCCAGCGAGCTGACTCGCAACCGCTGTGTCTTGTTCAGTGGGCCCTTGGTGCAGTCTGTCTGTGCTCTGGTGGGCTTTGCCACTGAGCCTCAGTTTTTGGGCAGAGCAGCCGCCATCAATCCAGAGGGCAAAGCCGTGCAGACTGCCATTTTGGGGGGCGCCATGAGTGTTGTCTCAGCATGCGTACTCCTCACCCAATGCCTCAGGGATATAGCCCAACACTCCGAAAGTAGCTCCAAGATGACTGAATACAGGGAAAGATTGAGGAACTCTGCTTGCGCTGTTTCGGATGGCTGCAACCTGTTATCTCAGGCACTAAGAGAAAGAGCCTCGCCCCGGACTTTACTGCCAGCGAACTCAAATTCTGTGAATTAATCTTTGTTTCCCCCAGTTTAGATAGCATGGGCACTGCTAACAGAAACATACTAGGTCCCCTCTCCTGCCCCATGTTTTTGTATACCAAAGAATTTGTGTAGATTGGCCCAATCGTTTGATTATTTTAAATTTATTTGTGGGATGTATGGTAAAACAGCCACGCTATGCCTTGTTACCTATGTAGAAAAAATCCACACGGAATGGCTGGCATGTTGGGAAGGGGCAGAGATACTATGGGAAGGAAAAGGATAAAGGAGCCATGCAGTTGTTAGCCTGGGCATCTTGGGCAGCTGAGGATTACATGAAAGGAGCCCCTGGGGTTCTGTGCAGGCCGAGGGAGCAAGCAGGTGGACACGGGCTGACGGGCTTTTTTGCCGCTCTGTATCCCCTAGAAACCAAGCAGCTTGAATTGAACTTTCTGTCCCTCCCTGTCTAGCCCATTTCAGGCTAGTAAATTTTTTTCAGGTTATAGTAACTTTTGGGGGGTTATTTACAAGGCAGCATCTAAGTTGAAGTGTGTTTTCACTTTAGAGACAAGACCTACATTTAAGCAGATGCTTTCAACAGCAGTTTAAAAAAGGAGATTATAGAAACAGACAACTTAGTTGCTGTTTTTTAAAGAGAGCCTTAAATGTGCTGGGTGCAGTTTTAACATGGGGATTATTTTGTCTTGTTTTGGTTTTGGGTCTTCCAGAAGCCCCTTTCTAAATTTTACTGTTCAGTTGTGGAGGAAGAGGAAAAAAAACCCAGTTACCTCAGTTTTCACATGGTCTGAAAGAAAACTTCAGTGATGGATGTAGCTATTTTTCTGTTTGTTTCACATGATTACTTTTTGAATCAGATGTTAGGTTAGAAGTGCATTTTGCTGTCTCGAGTGGGGGTTGGATTAGAGTTCCAAACTGGGGGAAAAGCTACTGTGAGTGTGATAAAACAGGGAGGATGTGGTTGAAATTACACTATAACAAGAAAGTGATTTGGGTTTTTTAATTATTTTTTCAGTGTCAGATTTTTTTTAATCTTGCATGTACTGGAGTATTTATTTCATCTATTAAAATGCTGTTTCTCAGACGCTCTTCTGTCAATCTCTACTGAAATAGCAGTGCCCGTGTTATGGACTGCATGCCTTGTTCCCCAGGGAATGGGTGGTACAGATGGAAGCATTGTTTAGACTGAGCCTTCTGTAGACAGGATGATTGGATCTTTGAATCTGTTTTCAGAAATACATTTTCTTCTGGCTTCTCACCCACTGCCCTGTTCAGTTTAGTGGCATCTTTCTTTTAAAAGTTGTATTGGAGAAAATGGGAAGGGTTTTTTGGGGGGGATTTGAAATGGGCAGAGTTTAATCTGAGTGATACAAAGAGGTCATGCAGCAGAATCCTATGTATATCTACTCAGTTGTATGTCCATCTACCTTCAGCAGGGATTACTCCTTAGTACTGGGTTGGGAAACCTTTGGCCCAGGGTCAAATCCAGCTTTCCTGGGGTCCTGATCTGGCTTTTAGGGACCCCTAGGTAGCCATGCCTTCCTTTCTTTGGCTCCAGCCCTTCCTCATCAGCATTTCCAACCACTGTTTTCAGGGGGGCTCACTCCCTCAAAAGTATGTTTCGGTTTGCCTTCTAAAAATAAAAGCTATTTTAATTTTGCTGTATCAAACATAAGCTTCTAGGGCAGCAGCCAGTACTCACTCAGCTAGGAGGAAGACCCACGGAACCATGGAGGCTTGCTTTTGGGGAGAGTGGCCTAAGGATGTGCTGTGCGCCGCTGAGGTAACTGGCTAAGCGGGTAACCCTGCCTCACAGGGTTGCTGTGAAGTTAAAATGGGCTGGTTGAGAAATGTGGCAATTTATAACTGGAATTACTCTTGAGTAAACCTGCATAGGAGGGAGCTGCAGAACATATTCCAGAGCTTTCATGTGACATTCTAGAGAGCATTTTGGATTGTTTAAGGGATGCGCTTTGTGTTGCACCGGCCTTCCTCAAGCTGGTGCCTGCATGTCTTGGATTACGACTCCCACAATCCGTAGTGCCTGGGAATGAGAGAAGCTATGGTATGTGGGCACCAGGCCGAGGGAAACTGCTTTCTGCCCTCTTCTCATGGCTCTGCCTTGTATTGCTTTTGGAATATCATGCAAACTTTGCTCCATCTTGACATTGGGGATCGGCTTGCTTTGAGCAAGTGTGATGTTGGTTTGCTTTTCACTCAGAGCATTGTCTGCCCTTCCAAGGATCGTTCTTCTAAAATATGTGCTTTGGTTCACTCCTTACTGGACTAGTCTAGGGTGTGTGGAGAATGTGTTGCCCTCCAGAGTGTGTTGGACTGCAGTTCCTGTCAGCCTTGCTTCGCATAGCCAGTGGTGAAGGATGATAGGAATTATCATCAAATAGCAGTACTATCTGGAGGGCCACATGTTCCTTGCTCTAAGGCCATGATTTTGGAACTGTTCTGGGAAGTGGGCATGGTTTCCAGTACAACTGAACAAAAGTTCTCCAAGGAAAGGAGACAAAAAGTTCTCCAAGGAAAGGCGTTGGACAAACTTATCTAAAACAGCTTTTCTGTTGCTCCCAAGTCTCATTCAGAGAAGTGTTGGTGAAATTCTAAGGCATGGCTCTCAAAGGTCCTATGAACCAGGAATTTCCCAACCTGAATTGCACTCATACTCTAGAATATTCCACAGCACTTTCTTCTGAATCTGGGATCGTCAAGAGTAGTGTGGCAAAGAGGTACTTATGTGAAGGGAATAGCATAAAGCTAAATGATGACTCAATTCTGCAAGATGTGGTAATGGCTCCTAGCTAGGGGTGGGTTTGCAAGGGGATTTGAGGGGGGCAGTTTGTGGAATTGTAGAATAGCAGGATGGGAAAGGGCCAGAGGGACATCAGGTCCACCCCCTGTGCAGTGTAAGACAGTGAGTTAAACCATCTTTCTTGGTGGGCTGTCCATTTTGCATCTTGAATGCCTCTAATGTGGGAAGAGACTGCAGCCTCCCAAGGTGAAACTAATAGTTGAGGGCAACTAGTCCTGAGGGCTGCAGGGTCAAAGGTGCCGTGCCTGTGAAAAATGCTAGTCACTGAGGAGCAGCTGTGAGTGAGGAAGGCGGCTGTGGCATCCCACTTGTGAGCTTACTCCAGGGTTCTGGTTTGCCTCTGCAGGAACGGTGTGGTAGACTGTGATGGCAGGAGCTTGCTGCCATGTTGCCCTGACATCCCAGTGTTTTAAACCACTGAAGCGGGACAGAAAATGGAGCACTGCCTTCAACCCAGCTCACATCCGATGTGTTGCACTACACTTCCCATTATCCCCAGCCAGCAGTGCCATTGGTGTGAAGACTGACCTAGAAAGTTGTTTGTTGTCAAGGCAGGGCTCATGTTGCATTCTAAAAGTAGTTTAGAACAGCTAGGTTGGAGGTGTGTTTCCATTGGCTACAATGGTCCTCATTTGGTCTGTCCAGTTGGTCGCCATTTTATCTCTAGGCTGTTGGTGGGATCCTGGCTCTCCACGATCTCCAACAGAGGCCTTTGCCATCACCTTTTTCTGCACAGGTGGACAACAGATGATCCTCTAGAACTTCTGGCCTTGTCAGCTATAGCCAGCGTAGCTGAACTGGATACTATGATGGGAGTCCCGGGCTACTGGATCATTTTAAAACTAGAGGTGCCAGCCTTTGAACCCGGGAACTTGGGAAGCTGTGGCCCCTTCATCTCAATCTGCCTTTTCCAACTTGAGGGCCACAGATACTGTTGGATTCCAACTCCCATCATCTCCAGCAAGCATGGCCAGTGGCTGTAGGAGGCGGATGGTATAGTCTAAAAACATCTGAGCTGTCCAGGTCAGTAAGGGTGGGTTGAAATCAGCATTATGGCAATGGTCCAAATCAACAAGATACGTACCATTTGTGGAAGTTGTCTCAAGATTTGAAGAAGGGAATCATATTTCTAGTTGAAGGGCTGCCCAACAAGTCTGGAGCCCTAAGAATTGAGCTGCTCCAAACAGCTACACCTGCCGCTTATTGGGTTGGCTCAGCCTCAAGGACCCTTTGAATGAATGCATCCCAAAATGCCTTGTCCTTGACAGATATTGTAATACAAGGTTGTGACTTCCTTTATGGAAGCCGTCCTTCATCATGGTCTCCGTGCATCACGCATTATGGGTGCTACACCTGTGTGGAGCCTTTTGCCGGGATGATTTAAGCGCTTTTGACAGTTTGGTTGTCGTCTTTTGCCTTCAACTTCCTGGCATTACCTCCTCCAGGGAGTCTTGCCTTCTCATGCAAGATGAATCACACAAATTCATCTCCTTAGAAAACACACTAGTAAGTGTATTTTTGGAAGGACAGGTGGAAACTTTATGAGGAAGTATTTTAGCATTGATGGGTTCAACAGATGAATAATGAGCAAACCCCCCAGCCAGGTAAAGCATGTTCCACTGCTCTATCTCTGTCTGCGCAAATGCTATACTTGCAGAATTTTTGCCTGAGGTAGCTATTTTAATTGGCGTAGAATAGCCTCTGTCCATTTTTTTAAAATGTGGTAACCCTATACTGAAAGAGACCTCAGGGCTGGCTTTATCACTTATTTAATCTATTTATATCCCTTTTTAAATGTATTACAGCTCCGAGAAGGCTGGTTTCATCTGGGATTAAGTCAGCTTTACTGTCGTTAATCCCATTCTCAGTTCAATAGAACAACTGTTTCAATCCAGGGCCTTCCAGCCTCACTCTTACAATGCAGGGGCAAATTCTGAATGGTCTCCCATCTATGTCTGATTTTTTTTCTTTGTTTCTTTCACTTTGTCTTCCCCACACTTTCCTCCCTCCCTCTATATAAAAGCTATCTCTTGTTGACTTCTTGCTTGGACTATATGGAAGAAAAGTTTCCTCTGAGTCATTCAGGCCCAAATCCAGATGTGGAAGATGGAATGTCAGGACCAGGTGTTCTTGGCCCTGTGTCTTTTTTGCCAAATAAGGAATAAAGTGTGGGTTCATGGAAGATGAGCACGATTTGTCATGTTGCACAGCATCATCACTGGTCATAGTCATCACACATCCTGGAGTTCCTTAATGGTAGGTGACACCAGCTTGCTTCCAGGCTGCTTGGCATCCACACCCCAAGTTTACTACGGGGGGGGACTCTTAATGGTCTGAAATGAGCATAGGACTGCCTCTACCCTTCCCTTCAGCAGCTTCTCTGCAGCCGGCTGTCCCCTTTTACCCTCATGACTGGTTGAGAGCTAGCAATGTGCCTGAGATGACTCCCCCACCCAGAAACGTCAAGGCTGAGGTGGAGCTCTGAACGCATTGCTGTGCCACGCTTGGGTTGGAACTGCATGTCCAATGGGTTTTCCAGGGATCCAGATGGACACCATGACATCGGGGCGAACAATGCCAGTGAGTCCAGGGTCAGGGGGTGCCTCTTCGTGATGCTGCCCACAAAATTTGGCAGAGCGGTAATGGCCACAAAAATGACGGAGGGGGCACACGTGTGCGCCGTGCCACCCGGCTTTGTCCCCTGCGTGTTTGCATTGATGGCAAGAGGCAAAGTGCAGCAAGCGACTGGGAACCGACGTAGTGGATGAGCAGCAAACGGGTCTGCACTCTGTGTGCCGGCCTGTGTTCTTTTGCGATGCATCATTCTGCTGAGATCTCAGAGCACCTCTCGGACTCGCGCTTTGGCAGGCCTGCTCCTTTACTAGTCCTGAGCTGCTAATAAGAATATCGGCTGCCTAAGCAATGCTGTGCATTGATGGATGACTTTGTTTTGCCATACCATATGCTATGGTATATGAGGCTATATTTAGGCAGGGAGGGAGAGCAGTTGCTTTTCAATGTCCTGGCTTCTCGCCAGCTCATTGGAACTTGTCACTCTGCAATTTCCTTTTTATGTTAGCATTGGTTGTAGGATCTCCAGTTTGGTCTTCTTTCTCTCCCCTCTCTTTTCTTTCCTTCTTTTTCGAGTGCTTGGACTCTTAGAAAGGCTGCTTGTTTAGCAGTTCTGCTAATTGCACTGTTCGACTTTAAAAATTATATTTATTTTATATTCCTTGAGGTTACATATTTTGCGGTTGCGTTTT